GATACTGGTGGAGCCTCAGGCGGATATACAGGGACTGGCGCGTCAGGTGTGGTCCAATCTCATCGAGCATGCGGATCTGGGTGCGCTGCTGATTGCCGCCTGTCCGTATGTCTCCTCCTGGATCTGCCTGTCGATGCAGCCCCCCAAGTTGGCCTTCGATCCATCGGTACTCATCAGAGCAGGCAGCGGCGGTGGTGACCCAGCGACTGGAATCCCCTCTCGAAGGCGGACTGCACGGATTGGCGACGACCTGGGCGGCGGCATCCTGGCGCACGCGAATGCCCAGCAAAAACTGTATTTGGGCGGCAGCGAGGCGACTCCGTTGGACCTAAGAGAGGCGAACTTTATGCGCGCCAGGATCTCCTCATCGCGGGCACTCGGGGCACTCTCCCATTACCTGGTGCAGCCAGCGCCCGGAGTGGTGTACACCCCCCAGATGGAGAGTCCCACGGATCTGTACACGAAAGTGCTTCTGGGGCATCTGAATGCCCACTCGGCAGTGCAGCGGATCGTCTGCGGGCTGATTATTGCCTTCTGGGCGCTGGAGGATGAGCCAGTGCGCCCGGGGCCACCGAATCTGCAGGAGAAACTGCATCAGTGCGTGAGCGAATACGTGTACTACGATGAGGTGGCCACCTCCCTGACCAGACTGCTGCAGGAGGCGCAGGACTTTATAGCCACGCTGAAGCAGAACAAGATCCCCATCAATGACTTTAACAATGCCAAGATCCTGACCCTCGAGCAGATCGAGGCAGTGGCCACCACACTGAGCGACAATCTGCGCAGCCTGACCCTCAAGCCGAAGCTCCTGGACATGCTCGAGGAGCGGCGACGCAGCCTGCAGGCCTCCTACCAGCAGACGACCAGCGAGCAGGGCGCCTACCATGTGAGTGCCCAGGCAGCACTCGCCGGAGCCATTTGCGCCCTCCACTGCCTGCCCGAGAAGCTGAATCCGGTGGTGAAGCCTCTGATGGAGTCCATTAAGCGGGAACAGTGCGTCCAACTGCAACAGCTCTCCGCCGAGTTCCTGGTCCACCTGATGGATCAGGTTTGTGATAGAAATCCTAGTCCAAACAGCAAGATTCTGAAGAATCTGTGCACCCTTCTGCGCAGCGATGCAGACCATACGCCTATGCTGGTAAGGACGCGAGTGGAATCACCAGAATCCACAGCCACATGACAGCCATTGCTCTCTTTTCTTTTAGGTGATGCCACAGCAAACCCTCACGCAGATACAGGGACAGCCACAGAACACTTCGGGTGCCAGCAGCAGCTGCCTTTACTACGGCATCCTGACACTCACCCTCCAGCAGGCCATGACGAGTGGCAGTGGCTCCAACAGCAGTGGCGGCACGCGTGGCACCCCCACCACTGGAACAGCGTCCACCGGATCTTCGCGCGGTCCCGGACGACCGCCGGCGAGCGAGATCTTGGCGGCCGCCGCAGCGGCCTCAGCGCACGTGGAGCTGAAAGTGCAGCAGGCCAAGGAGGCAGAGGCCAAGCAGTGTCGCATTCAGCGCCTGGGAGCCGCCTGCACCATCGCCAAGCTGTGCAGCACCTTTGGGGAGCACATCCTCGAGAAGGTGACCATATTCCAGCAGCTAATGTTCGGGAAGGTCGCGCAGTTTGTCCAAGAAACGGACCTGCTGAAGCTGGCCAACACTCTGCCAGAGCTGCAGGCATGCACCGAGCTGATTGGCTCCCTGCAGCTGATCGAGACAGCGGCCCCGCATCTGCACCAGGCACTGCATCCGCAGATGTACGCGCTGCTCCCTCCCCTGGGATTCATTGTGAGGCATCCCCTGAAGGCAGTGCGACACATGGCCGCCCGCTGCATTGCCGTGCTGGCGGAGATCAATGCCTGCCTGACGATGCACTTTGTGGTGCAGGAGCTGCTGCCGATGCTCGGCAAGATTGAGCAGCTCATCGAACGCCAGGGTGCAGTGGAGGCCATTGAGCGTGTGGTCAGTCGGCTGCAGATCAAGGTGGTGCCGTACATAGTCCTGCTGGTGGTGCCCCTGCTCGGGGCCATGAGCGACCCCAATGAAGCCGTGCGCCTGCTGTCCACCCATTGCTTCGCCAATCTGGTGCAGCTGATGCCCCTGGACAGCGGCTGCAAGACGGATCAGCTGAAGAGCGAGCCGTTGCAGGCGCGAAGGACGCGCGATCGGGAGTTCCTCGACTACCTGTTCAATCCCAAGTCCATTCCGAACTACCAGGTGCCGGTGCCGATCAGCGTGGAGCTGCGCTGCTACCAGCAGGCGGGCATCAATTGGCTGTGGTTCCTCAACAAGTACAACCTGCACGGCATACTCTGCGACGACATGGGTCTGGGCAAGACCCTCCAGACCATCTGCATCCTGGCCGGCGATCACCTGCAGCGCCAGGCGGCGGCGCACACCAATCTCCCGAGTCTCGTGATCTGTCCGCCGACCCTCACAGGCCACTGGGTGTACGAGGTGGAGAAGTTCCTCGGCCAGAGCTCTGTGCTGCGGCCCCTCCACTACTTTGGCTTCCCCCTCGGGCGCGAGAAGCTGCGCAGTGAGATTGGGACGACGTGCAACCTCGTTGTGGCCTCCTACGACACGGTCCGCAAGGACATCGACTTCTTCCGTGGCATCCACTTCAACTACTGCGTCCTGGACGAGGGGCACATCATCAAGAACGGCAAGACAAAGAGCTCAAAGGCCATCAAGCAGCTGCGGGCGAACCACAGGCTGATCCTCTCGGGCACGCCCATCCAGAACAATGTCCTGGAGCTGTGGTCCCTCTTCGACTTCCTAATGCCGGGCTTCCTGGGCACCGAGAAGCAGTTTATCCAACGCTTCTCACGGCCCATTTTGGCATCGCGCGATGCCAAGAGTTCACCCAAAGAGCAGGAGGCCGGTGTCCTGGCCATGGAGGCATTGCATCGCCAGGTCCTGCCCTTCCTGCTGCGCCGTGTCAAGGAGGATGTGCTCAAGGATCTGCCGCCGAAAATAACCCAGGATCTGCTGTGTGAGCTGAGTCCCCTCCAACTGCGACTCTACGAGGACTTTAGCAGCAAACACCTGAAGGGATGCTTGGATAAGTTCGGGGAAACGACGGCGGTGGCCTCGACGGAGAATCTCAGCAACAAGACGCACATCTTCCAGGCCCTGCGCTACCTGCAGAACGTATGCAATCACCCCAAGCTGGTGCTCCGCCAATCCGAGGAGCTGTCCCACGTGTCCGCCCAGCTGGCGCTCTCCAACAGCTGCCTGGACGACATTGAACACTCGGCCAAGCTGCCAGCCCTCAAGTATGTGTACCGATCTTCTCTCTATCGAGAGCATCATTCATTCTCTTCATCCACAGACAACTTCTCCTCGACTGCGGCATTGGTGTGCAAACGGAGTCAGTCAGCCAGCATCGGGCGCTCATTTTTTGCCAGCTGAAGGCCATGCTGGACATTGTGGAGCACGATCTGCTGCGGCGGCACCTTCCCAGCGTCACGTACTTGCGGCTGGATGGCAGTGTGCCCGCCTCCCAGCGCCAGGATATAGTCAATAACTTTAATAGCGATCCCAGCATTGACGTGCTGCTCCTGACCACGCTGGTAAGACTCTGATCTGATATCCCATCTCCCATTGGAAGTACTATCAATACTATGTGCTTGTAGGTTGGCGGCTTGGGTCTAAATTTAACTGGTGCCGACACCGTCATCTTTGTGGAGCACGACTGGAATCCCATGAAGGATCTGCAGGCCATGGATCGAGCCCACCGAATCGGCCAGAAGAAGGTGGTCAATGTGTATCGCCTGATCACCCGCAACTCGCTCGAGGAGAAGATCATGGGGCTGCAGAAGTTCAAAATCCTCACCGCCAATACGGTGGTGAGTGCCGAGAATGCCTCGCTCCAGACGATGGGCACCTCGCAGATCTTCGATCTCTTCAATGGAGGGAATGGCAAGGCCGGCGGCGGATCCGCCGCCACAGAAACTCAATCTGCCGCTGGTGGCATGTCCGTGAACACGTTCATCGAGAACATGCCGGAGCTGTGGTCCGAGTACCAGTACGAGGAGGAATACGATTTGGGCAACTTTGTGCAGGCACTGAAAAAATAAGCAATCTTCCCCACATCCATCCCCCAGCCGCTTCCCACACACACACTCTAAGACTTCCAGAGAAAGAGAGTTCTGTTTTAGGCTAAGGTTGGAAAATGCATTCGGAAGAACTGTTTCGGAATGTTTTCTTGTTCCTTTTATAAAAAACTGCAAAACAAAACAGGAAATTTTTAGAAATAAACAGAAAAAACGTTGGAAAATTCAATTCTATTTGCGAATTGTTGATTGTCGATATAGCGGTTCAATTTTAATATATAGATAGAAATAAATACATCCGAAAATCTATATGAAATGGGTAGAGACCATGAAGTCGTTACCGCCCAAAAAGCTATCGCGTAACGCGGATAGACATATTCTCCGGCGCCGAGAGTTTTGGTCAACCCCGCGAGTCCCCGCTGTCCCAGGTTAGGCCTAGGCCTAAATTGTATTCCCACAACATTTTGTTGTCAATTGTTTTACCACAACAACCCTCAACTAGCGACCACTCAAATGGCCGAAACGAGAAATTTCAAATCGGGAATACCAGGCGAACAGAAATCGGCAGGAGGTCGCTGGTTTTTCTTTTTGTGGGCCCAAATCGGCCCGCTGGCCTCCTGTGATCGGAAAAATATGATTTCCCTGATTGATTCCCGGCTTGCATTCTGTGCTGGGCGTGCCCTGGGTTCGTATGATCGGAAAAAATATCCTTGAGCCTTGGATAAGGACTCCAACATCCACAGCATCAAATATTTAGGTATGGTATCTATTTGCGGTCCGATTTGGGGCTGCCATGGCTTCCTGTGATCGAAAAAATATACCGAGTCGAATGATGATGGGCTATTTTTTGTTGCAAAGTTCAAGAGCGTGAAGTATTAGCTTCGAGAAAGGTTTGTCCATCCCTGAGGACCAATTTCAATGTAATAATACTCGGCAAGGATTACAATTGGGTGTCATTTTTATTCATCCTTGTTTTCTATACCGTAAATTGCTCTAGGACCGTGCGCCTTGAGGACTCTGCAGCTCCTTGGCTGGCCTCGTCATAGTGGCCCTGCTGCAGGCGATGATTCTTCAGGGCCGTGCCCTGGATAAAACGCTCGCCACAGACCCCGCACTGATAGGGACGCTCGCCCGTGTGGCGCCGAATGTGGAGCGTCAGGTCGTTTGACTGGGTGAAGCTCTTGTCGCAGTAGGTGCACTTGTAGGGCCGCTCGCCATTGTGGATGCGCATGTGCTGCTGCAGTTTGTAGGATCTGGCGAAGCCCTTCTGGCAGACGGTGCAGATATGGGGCCGCTCTCCGGTGTGCGTCCGGCGATGGCACTGGAGATCGGAGGAGCGCGGAAAGGCCATTTCGCAGTAGTCGCACTTGAAAGGCTTCTCGCCCGTGTGCCGACGCATGTGGATGATGAGGTTGGAGGAGGAGCTCACAGCCTTGCCACAGAAGGCGCAAAGGAAGCGTTTCGGCTCCTTGGGCGACGTTGGCCGGATGGGAGCCCGTACGGCGCTCGGAGTCCCTCCCACTGGGTTGTGGAACTTCTTCACATGGGCCGTCAGCCGGTCCTTGCGATTGTATTTCCTCGGGCAGAGGCCGCACTGAAAGATTGGACACACAGCTTTCTGCTCTGCGGGCTCATCCAGGGGTGGATCTTCCTGTTCTTCGGTCTTCCCGTGCTGCAGCTGCATGTGCAGCAGGAGATTGGACTCCCACATGAACTTGTAGCCGCATTTGGCGCAGGTGAACTGCTTCTCCCGGTTGTGGCACTGCACTCGCTTGTGATGCGCGATAAGATCGGGAGAGACACTCTTGAAAATGCACTGATCGCAGCCGTCGGGGATCTTCTCCAGCCTGTGCATGGCCTGCTGGTGCTGATGCAGCTCGTACTTCCGCACACACCGGAGCTGGCACATGCCACAGGTGTAGAGAGCTGGCGTGCCCGGTGGCTTGGACTCCTCCTCGTCCGTCTCTGAATCGTCCAAGTGGAGCTCGAAACCCATTTGGTTGGTTATCGAGTAGTTCTGCAGGGACGAGAGCTCGTGGTGACTGCCCGACGCCGTGGTCTCGAGATGGACGCGAAGGGCAGCAATGCTGGGGAAGCTCAAGCTGCACACTTTGCACTCCACGCTCTTCTGACCATTGGCTTGGCCATAGGCACTGAGGAGGGCTTCCGCGTAGGGCAGCTGGCTAGCTCCGATGCCGTGCCGCTCAATGTGCTGCAGGAGATTGGCCTTCCTGTAGAAGCGGCGCGCGCACCAACGACAGCGATATATGCTGGATTCCTGGGCATGCATCAGCGTGTGCCGCGTGAGATCCTTCTGCATCTTGAAGCTGCGATTGCACTCCCCGCACTGGAGGTCGAACTCAGCCTGGATGCTGGGTTCCTCTGCAGCTGGCGGCTGTTCTCTTTGCTGATGCGAGGCACTAGCGTGCAGCTTCAGGTTCTCCCGCCAGCGGAACCGAAGCGGGCACTTTCGGCACTGGAAACGCTTCTGCGGGTTCCGGCAGAGGGTTCTGTAGTGATGCTCCAGCAGCGTCTCACTCACGAACCTCGCCTGACAGTGGGCACACACAAGCGAAGCCTCCTCCCACTGGTGTTGCTCCAGCTGGTGGGCATACAATTGATGCTTTCGCCTCACCTCCACCTGGCAGATGTTGCAGGCGTACCGCTGCTGGTCAGCTTCTTCGGAGCTCTCGTCATCCTCCTGCTCTGAATCCGTTTCCGTTTCACTGCTCTCCAGCGAGAGCTCAAGGCCAGCCTCGTTGGTTATGGAAATAAAACGCTCCAACTCCAAGCCGCCGGCCACATCGCTCATGATCCTATCCGCCAGCTCTTGTTTATCCAGGGCAGTGCCCAGCTCCGGATACAACAAAAGCGAGGCACTGGGAATATCTCTCTCCTGTGGAAAGCACACGCTATATTGGTGCGCGCTTAGGTGATTCCTCAGATCGGAGATCTTCGAGTGGCGTGAGAGGCAAATCATGCACTGGATTTGCTTGCAGCCATTTGGACGGCATAGTTGGGCCAGCTGCTCCCCTGGCATTCTCTGAATACTGTTCGTAGAGTTCGATTGGACGCAAGGCTGCTCCTCATTCACAGTCTCCTGATGCTGCTCGCTGTGCACCCGCATGTGGGACTTGAGGCCATCCTTGCGGTGGAACTTGCGGTCGCAAAAGGCGCACTCGTATTGGGCTGCCGACGGGGGGCGATGCATCCGCTTGTGACGAGTAAGATCCTTGTGCCAAATGAAGACCTGGAAAACAATGGGAATTTTAGTAATGCTGCGACTGGGGCTGCGGGAGCTCTCAAACCTTTTCACATTCATCGCACTGAAGCTTGGCGGCCGAAGATTTATGTTTTCTACCCTGCTGGCAGTCCTCGGACTGCTCCTGATCCTCATCCTTGTCGTGGTACAATCGCAGGTGTTGCTCGTAGTTCGATTGCCACACAAAATGAAGATTGCATCGCTGGCAGTGGTATTTCGAGTGCTTTTTGGCACAGGAACGTCTGCGATGTTGCTGAAGCAAAGGGTCAGAGACGAAGCCAGCGCCGCAATCCTGGCAAGAGCGGGGGTACGTGGTGCCCTCTTCGGAGTGAAGTCTCCTTTGATGTTGCAGCAGCTTGAGCAGCCGAGTGGTAGTCTCTCCACATAGGAGGCAGGTGTGGGAGGGATTCGGCTTTTCCTCCGTTTTGTCTGCGTCTGCATCGCTCTCCTCCGTGTCGGAGTCAAAGAGATCCAGCTCTTGACCACTTCCCGTGCAGGCATTGTAGTAGCGTCCAAAGTCCTGGGTCTCATAGTCCCCAGCTATGCGGGTGCTCAGCTCGGAGAGGCTGCTGTCCAATCCGTTGGGATAGTAAGAACGGAAGAAGGCAGAATTCTGCTCCGGATCAATGCCACTCAATCCATGTCGATGGGTGGCCAGGTGAGCGCGCAGCCGCCTTAAGCTGGGAAGCTGGGCATCGCACAAGCAACAGATGATTTGCCTGTATGACTGCTCCTCCTTGCGATGGGAGCAGGCATGCCGCTCAAGGTTCTCCAGCCACATAAACCTCCCCGGACACTTGCGGCAACGATAGCGCTTCACTTTGCTCTGGCACTGGGTCCGCTGGTGCTGTTCAAAGAGCTTTGCACACACAAAACCCACTTTGCAGAGGTTGCAGCGCAGGGGAATGGGCGATTGGGTGTGCTCCTCCAGGGTGTGCCGCATCAGGCGGTATTTGCGTGTGTACGACAGATTGCACAGGTCACAATGGTACGGTGGGTCTCCACCGGCAGGCTCATCGTCAGAATCGCTCAGGCACAGCTCGTAGCCATGGAAATTGACCACAGAAGAGTACTTTTCCATCTGCCCGTCGGCAATTTCCGAGCAAATTTGCTGCTTGATCTTTTCCAGGTCAAATGGCACACTGGCAAAATGTTCTTTGACCACATCGTTGTCCGCTCGCAGACTAAACAAACTATCCCCGCGGACGTGACTCGCTAAATGGGATCGGAGCTCCTGCATGCGCTGGCACTTTAAGCCACACAATTTGCATTGTATTCTCTTCAGTCGCCCGGAGCTGTACAAACGCTCCGCGTATCTCCACTCGTTCTTCAGCTGGAGGGCCTGGCACTTGGCCTCCCGCTTCTCGTGGGAGCGCAGATGGAACGTGTACTTATCCTTGCGCAGAAAGCCCTTGCCACAGGTGTCGCAGACGAACGAGGCCTTTTCGTAATGAATGCGAGCGTGACGCTTCATGTCCCGGAACCAGGAAAACGTTTTGCCACACACCTCACAAGCATGACGGCCTTCGGAATTCCTTGACTGGCTTTTGGCCAGACCAGGAGGACGTCCACGTCGCCGCTTGTTGGTTGAAGTACTGACCTCCTCTTCACTGTCTGCCTGTAGCTTGACTTTACGGGGACTTCGCCGCAATATATAGGGCTGCTGCTCATCCAAATCATCAGCTCTGCAGAGCAACAGGTGAAGCAACAATTAAACAAGTTTTTTATCTTAAATTTTTCCTACTCACTCATCGTTTGAGAGTGCATCGGCGGCATTCTCATCCTCGCTGGCACTTTCTGGCGTCCATTTCAGCTCGACGGAGCACACGCCAGCCGACTCCACATCCACGTCGGACGACCTCTGTGCCTCTCCAGAATCACTAAAATCTCTTTGCTCCTCGTCAATGTCGATCTCTGTTTTAATCTGCTGCTGTGGTATGTCAATGGGGGTCTCCTCCAGACATTCCCGCAGCCGCACTAGCAGCTCTCCATTGACTTTTCTGGCCTGCTCCACAAAGGCGTAGGCGCTCTCCAGCCTGTCCAAGCAATCTGCGCACAGATGTTGGGGCAGATTGTCGTCAGCATTCTCCAGCAGGGGCTAAACAAGATATTCAGCGAACAAGGCAATATAAATAAATGCAAGCACTCACGTCGATCTGTGTCAGCTCTTGGAGCACATCATAGAAACTTTTATTCGTGTACTTGTCCAAGGAAGTCGAGAGGGGCAGCAAATTGCTGTTTTGCAGGGCACACGTACGGCAAATATTGCTAGGCAGCATTTTTACTCCCCCTAAATGTTATTTAAACATATTTTTAAATATAAGAGCACGAAAACAGAAAAAAATGCAACGGGGGGGAACGTTGTGAGTTGCTGCGGACACCGCAACTCTACATTTATACCCGATACTTAGTCAGTATGTCTCTCCTCCGGCAGATGCCGCTAATATTAAACGACACGACATAGAGTGCGTGCGAGAGAGACAGAAAATCAGTCTGAGCGTGACGTCGGGCGTGGGTTTAATAATAATAAGATCCAATTCAGATTCTGCAGTCTAAAAGATATGGTCATTCTCTACGATTCTGCGTTTTTAATTTTCTCGTATCGTCGAAATTGTGGATGCCACAGATTTTCGCTCTTTGTGGGGGCGGAAGTGGGCGGGGCGAAGTTTTGAAATATTCTTATAGCAGTGATATATCACAGAGGACTGGATCCAAAATATCGTTGCTATAGCTCTTATACTCTTTGAGCACTAGGCGCTGATAGGGACAGGGCTCAATCGCCTCGGCTATTTGCTGATCAAGAATATATATACTTGGACGTTACACACTACCATTTTCACCACAAGTCTAATATACCCCAATACTCATTTTGAGTGGTATAACAAGAGCATCTGACCAGTGTGACCCTCCGAAATATACCGAAATATACCGTCTCGTTTAAAAAATATACCGTAAATATACCGACGAACTCCAGTTATAAATATCGATGGTTTATTGATTAAAAAATGAATACGATGTTTTTATATCGATGCTTATAAAATTATCGATATCGGTGCTGTTATTGATTATTTTCAAATATACCGAAATGTACCAAAAATACCGAAAATTGTGCTGTTAGGCGCAATCAGCTGCACTTCCTAACAGTGCTGTTATCGAAAAAGAACAGCTTTTCAACACTAAGCCAGGCTCAACAGCTGCTATTGATAAAAAACATTGTGCGTTTGTTGATGGGAAGCTTTATCACATCCATTTTTTAAACTATGACCCGGACCTGCAGAATCTGTGGCGATGCAAATGGGCGTTACTGGATCGAAACGCCGGTGGAGAAGTATGCCGAGAAGACCTTCAATCAGCTATTGCTGGAGCTAACGAAGATTGAGGTGAGCGAAATGGTGGCAGTTCCCATTTCCCACTTAACAAACGGTGTATTTCCAGTTGACCATGGTCCAGGCCGAGAAGTTGCCCCACTGGTTGTGCTCCAGTTGCTCCCAGAAACTGGAGAGCGCCTACGATTTTGTGTTGCAGGCGAAACAGACGCACAAACTGTGGCTGCAACAGCTGGAGGATACGGGCCAGATAATGAGCTCTGGGGGGGCCTTGGAGTGCCTGCGGGAGACCCCCATACATCTGTTCGAGATCGAGGGCGTTACCATCAAAACCGAAGCGCTAGAGTCAGCGGTTGCAGATGTCGGTAACAGCTCCTCCGATCCTCTAGTCCGCACACGCATCAAAAAGCGTACCGTCTTTCACTTCAGCGATACGGAGGATGACCAGGATGATGTGCCGCTAAGGCATCGCAGGACTGCCAGTCAAGCGAACAGCTCGTCAGCAAAGCTGCACAAGTGCAATCTGTGCGGCAAATCCTTCAGATATATCACAAATCTCTATCGCCACAAGAAAAGAGATCACGGCTATCCAGGGCATTCCAAGGGTGAGAGCTCCGAATCATACCAAAACACACAAAAGAGCGCCGTGACAGCGCAAGAAACTTGCAATTTGGAGTAAGTAGATCCCCATTAGAAATGCAGGCTGGTTCTGACAATATTTATTTTGAAAATAGACAAACTGATAACGATGAGGATGATGATAATGATAACTACTACAAATGCGATCAGTGCGACAAATCCTACAAGCACATAATGGTGCTTATCAAGCACAAGCAGAATGTTCATGAAACCAATCAACTGCCAATCCAATCTGGGGCCAAGCGAAGGAACAGAAGGGACGTGGGTGAAGCAGCAAGTCCAGCTTCTTCCGGGAAATCCATACAACGAACCAGAATCAGCACAGATACCCTGGTCCATAGCCTCATCAAAGCAGTGCAGTAAGATTAAGATAATACTTCGTTTAGTGTTTTTCACTGATATATTTCCATTTAAAGGCTGTCGGATGAGGATGGAAACAGCGGCACCGACAACTATTACAAGTGCGATCAGTGCCACAAATCGTACAAATACATTGTAAGCCTCATCAAGCACAAGCACAAGGATCATTCGGAAGCTGATAAAAACTGGGACGATGAGGACAATCAACCATTGGCCTCCACATCTGCTCGCGCCTCCGCTGCCTCAGGCTCAGGCTCTCCCACCAAGGCATCGCGAATCAATCGTCGCGTACAGGGCTTCGATCTGCATCGCTGCGAGCCGAATGGTGCGAAAGAAATTCAGTGCATGATCTGTCTGCGGAAATTCACTAAATTGCGTGAGCTGAGAGATCACCTCAGGTCGCATCCCACCGACTTTAATTTCCAGGCGCACGGTGAGCCTATCGAACGCATTGCCGAGGGATTTTTCAAGACGGCTGTGGAGTCCACTGTGGAGGGTTTGAAGAGCAGAATTCTGCACGATTTAAGGATGGGTGCCTTCGGACGCTTCTATTCCATTACCAACGAGGCGCGCTACGAGATGAGTCTGGACAGCTCCGACACGGATAGCGACGGCGATGCAGATGTTGTACTAAGGCGAAGCTATGCCTGTGAGCTATGCGACTCCCCGGAGGCCAGATGGCCGCGCAAGTATCAATTGCACGAGCATCACAGGCAGCAGCACACCTGGGAAGAGGCTCCGCATGTCTGCCAGCGGTGCGACTCGCGTTTCCTCAGTCTCCAGCTGCTGGAGCATCATACTCTACAGCTCTGCCAGAACACTCTGAAGCGATACATGTGCGACAAGTGCCCGCAGCGCTTCTTTTGGCGAAAAAATCTGCGTGCCCATCTTGTCGAGCACAAAAGCAAGGTGGGATTTATGACCAAATATTAAACCGAATCTAACAAATCTCTACTTTGTTATCCTTTTCAGCAAGACAACTATCCGTGCGATCAATGCCAGCGTAGCTTTCAGGATAAAAGCGCCGTGACCAAGCACAAGCTGATGATGCACCGGGATGAAACGAATCAACTTATTCCCTGCCGCTGGTGCTCACGGACATTCTATCGTCCCGCCCTCTTGCACAAGCATGTCGAGCGGCATGGCTTCACCGGCGAAGATTTGCCTCTTGCAGAGACATTACTGGCCGATGCAGCCAAGCCATCGGGCCCAAAGACTGTCCAGTGCAAGATCTGTGATCTGCAGTTTGTAAGCGTTGCAGATCTGCGCCGCCACAATGCTATGCTGGGCCACAGTGAGCGGATAACCGATTACATGATCAGCACCGAGGCTGGCTTCGAGCTGTTATTGGAGGATACAGATGACAGCGAAGACGACACTACGGGGGGCAGATCCTACTCGTGCGATCTCTGTCAGATGACGTTCCGTCGCCGAAGAGAGATGAGCGAGCATCAGTATTCATTGCACGCATTTGACAAGTTGCCGTATGGCTGCGAGCATTGCATTTATAAGACCGTGGATAAGGTAGGAGAAGTCACTAAACATCAGTGCAAATCAGTGCAAGAATTTCTAATTGTTTCGTTAATCCCTTTAAGCTCATGCTGGAGCATCATCTGCGCACACAATGCCTGAACAACGAGAAGCCGTTCAGCTGTTCCCGCTGTAGATACAAGTTTATGTGGAAGGAGAATCTGGAGCAGCACTACGCCATTCAGCATTCCAAGCAGCCGCCCACCCAAGAGCAGTCGTCCATGCCCTTAAGGAGAAGGCGACGCTTCAGATATCAATGCCCCCAGTGCTGGCGATCCTTTGTGGTACAGCCCAGCCTCGATAAGCATATAAGGGACATGCATGTGGCCAAGAGGAATCCGGGCAAGAAATACCTCTGCTCCCTCTGTGGCCTGGAGTCGCTGACGCCCAACAAGCTGAACATCCATATGCGTCGCCACAACGGAGAAAAGCCCTTCAAATGCGATCTCTGCGACATGCGCTTCACAGTCCACTACGAGCTGAAGGTCCATCGGCGGAAGCACACGGGCGAGCGGCCCTACCAGTGCACCTTCTGTGACAAGCATTTTGCCCGACCCGACAAACTGAGACGTCATGTCTACATGCACAGTGCTCGTCGCTAGACATGAATCTATTACGTTTAAATAGAGATCCAAAGATGTCTCTCTTTCTATCACTTCGCAAACGCGCCATGGGGAGATCGAGAGAGAGAGAGGCAACGAGCTTTTTAAAAAAAAAATCTGTGAGATTTATTGAGAATGGGAGGGTGGGATTGTAGTCTCTAAGTCAACCAGTCTGTTTTTGAGAGTAGGCCACATCGCACACGGCACCGCATGGACAGAAGAGACACAAAATGACTAATCAAACAGCCCCGGAATGGGTGAATAAACAGCTTTTTAATGGTTTGCTGGAACAGACCCACGACAATTTCAAGGCAATAACTAATTTTGCCACCAAAGCGGCCATCAGCGAGGGGGAAAACTACCTAACGATCGTGCTGCGTATTCAAATAGGAATGCAACTGCAAGGTAAGCGAGAAGGTGGCTTATCAGCAAGTCTCATTGACTAACAACTCACTGCAGATGATAGCGAAAAGGAGGTCAGCTATATACTGAAGATACCGCTGGTCAACGAGAGTGGGGATGATGAGTTTCACGATTTGTTCATAGCGGAATTTGAGATGTACGATCGTGTAATACCGGAACTGGAGGCCCTCTATGCTAGCAATACTTCACTCTCACCCAGCTTTAAGCCATTGCACATGAAGTTCCCAGAAATGACAACCAAATGCGACTATATCCTCTTGGAAGATTTACGCACTAGGGGCTACAAGAATGCTGAGAGGACTGTGGGTCTGGAACAGTTTGAAGTTGAGGCAGTTCTCAAGAAATTGGCCCAGTGGCATGCCGCCTCTGCCAAGAGAGTCACTGATCTGGGAGAATACGAGCAGGGTCTCAGGGAAAGCTACTTTACGCCCGAGCATCTGAAGGTGATTGAAGGATTCAACATGAGTTTTACCGTCCCTTTTCTGGAATGCATGCAGAAGTATGGTCTTGAGCCGGGTAATCTTCTTCTGATAGTGAGTAAGATAAGGAAGATGAGGCATAAATTTAAATTTGGTATAATCCGCAGAGCGACTACACTTCCCGCCTGACAGATCTCTATATGGAGTTTGGAGCCAACGATCCTGAAGAGCTGAATGTTCTTAATCATGGAGATTTCTGGTGCAACAATTTCATGTTCAAGTACAAAGAGTCTGGGGAAGTAGAGGATGTGTGCTTTGTGGACTTTCAGCTGCCTAAATATGGTAAAAAATATTAACAATCCCTTTTGTAATATTTTGATACATTTTCTCCACTTTTAGGGACACCTGCACAAGACCTATTCTGTCTGCTTATAACCTCGCCAAAGTTCGACATCAAACTAAAGAAGTTTGATTATTTTATAGAGTATTATTATCGGCAACTGGTGGAACACCTTGCTCTTCTGAAATACAATCAAAACGCACCAACATTGTCGCAGCTTCGAGATAACCTCCACAAAAACAGCCTCTGGGGTAAGTCCTTATGGGGGGATGGGTGTTCATTGTCATGATCATAAATCATGATGGATCTCTTTATTGCAGCGTTCATATGTGCCCAGCGGATGCTGCCCATAGTTCTGATGCCTCCCGACGTGGGCTCAAATATTGGCAATGTCATGGGCGACTCGGAAGAGGCGTCTGCATTCAAGCGTAAGATGTTTCAGTCGCCAGCCTACGTGGAGCAAATCAAAGCCATTTTGCCCTGGCTCATTCAACGCTCGTTTATAAGATGATCGGGTGATTGCAATGGCAAACAGGTTTAGACCCGACCCCTCTCAAAGTATTTAAAGTATTATAATAAATTTAAAGGCAAGCTTTCTTACTCAATCGCATTATTTCCTACGAGGATCGCTTATAGATAAGCCCCATTCATAATATGATGAGGAAAGTATCCCCCCAAATAATTCAATGCCATACATGATCAGAAATGGTTGGAGAGTGCTTTTGTTATTGAGTGAAATGATTCAATTGCATAGCTGAAGCTTTTCGAAGCCAATTGGGAAGGAGAGGAGACCGAGAGAAAGCTCTGGCTATCTGCGACTTGTTTTTGGTGGTCGGTCTATGATAGCTAGAAACCCATAAAGCTATATAAAGCTGAATATAAAACTATCAGCTTCTACCCGACTGGCGGCAGTCCACAAAACCCTGTCCGACCAGGCGTATACTTGATTTGCGAGTGTAAACTTTTGTGCGAAACGAATTTCAACAATATGGCGGCCAGCAAAGTACCCGACTGGATAAATGCGGAAATATTTGAAGATGTTCTCAAGTCAACGGTGCCTGGCTATTCCAAAGTGAAGACCTTCAAGGCTGACAGTGGCTCTGCCGCGGGAGAAAACTACGCAACGATCATGCTGCGTGTCAACATCGAAGTGGAGCTGGAAGGTAATATCCCTTGCTGCTGGAGTGGTGAATTTCCTCCATTTCAAACATATCTTTTTTCAGATGGAAAAGCCAAGGATGTCTCGTACATGGTGAAGCTGCCCCATCAGCTTGAGTTTTACCAGGAAATGATGAAGAAGACCAACATTTTCGACACTGAACGCTTGATGTACAATGACGTTGTGCCCGAGATGGAGGCGCTGTACAAGGCAGTGGGTGTAGATTTGATTTTCGGTGCCAGGAGCTACGATTTCAAAGGAGCCAAGAGCGATTATGTTCTGTTGGAGGATCTGAGCATAAAGGGATTCAAAAATGCTAACCGTCTGGAGGGATTGGATCAGACGCACACGGAAAGAGTTCTGAAGAAGTTGGCCCAATGGCATGCGGCCTCGGCCGTGCGTGTGGCCACGAAGGGCTCATATCCGGAGATGCTTACCATGGGCTTCTTCAAGGAGGAAAGCAAGCCCATGATGACCGAAATGATTAATGGAATGATGGCGAGATTCCTCAAGGTCTGTGTTACCTTCGAGGGCCACGAGGAGTGGATAGAACAGATTGTAAGTAACCAAATATAATCCTGGAAAAGGTAATCCTGGAAGGTATAGCTGATATCCTACCTCGCCAATTCCAGAAAGCACTTATTCCCGCATCCATAGATGAAATGTACAAAATGGCCAAGATCGATCCCCAAGAGTTTAATGTTCTGAACCATGGAGACTCTTGGTCCAATAACATAATGTTCCAATACGATGCCTTCGGTACGATTAAGGAGGTGTATCTTGTGGATTATCAGATTCCCAAGTACGGCACAGTGGCCCAGGATCTGTTGTACTTCCTGCTTTCGTCCACCAGACTGGAGGATAAGCTGAGCAAATTCGATTACTACATCAAGTTCTACCACGACAGTCTGATCGAGAACTTGAAGATCCTCAAGTACACGAAACCCTTGCCCACGTTGCGAAGCATTCACTTGGCCCTATTGAAATATGGAGTTTTCGGTAGGTCAATCTTTAGTACACTCTTATAATGTTCATAATAACACTCTCAATTCCAGGTTACTCCGTTGTAACTGGAGTTATGAGTGCAGTTCTGTTGGATCCTACGGAGAATGCCAGCTTTGAGAACTTCGTGGGCGACAGTGCGGCCGGGGAGGCCTTCCAGTTGCAGTTGTACACCAATCCTCGCTACCGCAAGCATATCCAGGCTATCCTACCCTGGCTCCTCAATCGTGGGGCCTTGGAGATCAGTGCTCCCACAAGCCAATGACAATTTACACAATTTATGCCCGTTGTGCGATAGAATTTAACGCAACCGACCGACCGTGTGATAATGCTGATAATGATATCTGTTTTTTTTGATAATGTGCACACACAAGTATTAATAAAAACTAAAATTATTCTCCAAACCTAAATCGATAACGGGTTTTACAATCGAATCAGTTTGCAAAAAGTCAGTGTGAATCGTATTTTTGGGATCGATGGGGGGTTGAAGTGGGTTGTGACTCACGCTTCCATAGAAAATATGAGGGGGAACGTTGTGAGTTGCTGCGGACACCGAACTCTACATTTATACCCGATACTAAGTTAGTATGGCTCTCCTCCGGCAGACGCCGCTAACATTAAACGACACTACAAAGAGTGCGTGCGAGAGGGATAGAAAATCAGTCTGAGTGTGACGTCGGGCGCTGCGAAATTTTGCGATATACGTTTCATAGTGAGATCTAACAGAAGTGCGGATACCAAATTTGGTTACTCTAGCCTTAATAGTCTCTGAGATTTGTGGATGCCCCAGATTTTCGTCCTTTGCAGGGGCGGAAGGGGGTGTGGCGAAATTTTGACACAAAACGGTCAAGGTCCGATATATTAGGAGTGTGGATACCAAATTTGGTTTCTCTAGCTTTTATAGTCTCTGAGATATAGGCGCTAATGTTTTACTCTAAGCAAAGCCGGCTATGCTACGTGTGGGTTAGAGAGAGACAGGGCGAGAAAAAATTAAAGTGTTTTCTTGATGCTGGCTATAATAATAATACGATCCAATTCAGATTCTGCAGTCTAAAAAATTTAGTCATTCTCTACGATTCTGCGTTTTTGGTTTTTTCGTATATTTAAAATTGTTGATGCCACAGATTTTCGTCCTTTGTGGGGGCGGAAGTGGGCGGGGCGAAGTTTTGAAATATTCTTGTAGCAATGACACATCACAATGGCATATCTGGATTCATAATATCAAAAGCTCGTATACTCTTTGAGCACTAGGCGGTGATAGGGACAGGGCTCATTCGACTCGGCTATTGATGCTGATCAAGAATATATATACTTTATGGGGTCGGAAACGATTCCTTCTGGACGTTACACACATCCATTTTCACCACAAATCTAATATACCCCAATACTCATTTCGAGTATCGGGTATAAAAACACAGAAGATAGCGACACTACGCAACTGATGTTCAAACAAAAAACGAATACTTTGACATGAATGCGAAATTGTCGTATCAAAACAAAACACTTGCTGGAAAAAAGCTTTAATCTGTAATATTACGAGTACACTACGTATACTACTACTACGATCTTTCCGAACATTGTACTCCCAAAGCTTCATCGCTATGGCATGGTATGTATGGTATGCACACTAAGAGATCTGTATTGAGTGAAATTTTAATGTTAAAATGGAAGTAAAGTTCAAACTGAAGGCCGTCGAGATTTCCAAATGGTATGATCTTTTTAGCCGATTTTTTTAATACTAATTATAATACGTTATTACTTATGATTGCATGCACAATTTCTGAACAACTGAATAAAATGTTCGTAATTTGTCCCTAGAAAAAATGACTTTTCATGTCATTAACCTACGTTTCGGAATATGGGCAAATGCTACTCTACTACCCTACCATATATGGTTATAACTATTTGATAGAGAAACGAGGGGGACGGTTGAGAGTTGCTGCTGCGACCGCAACTCTACTATTATACCTGATACTTTGTCAGTATGGCTTTCCCTCGGCAGACGACGAGTACATTGAGCGACAAAAAGTGTGTGAGAGAGAGACAGAAAATCAGTCTGAACGTGTCGTCGGAGCTGCGACCGAAAATTGATGTGTTACCCTTGGCTATAATAATCCGATCTGAACTAAATTCGGAAATCAGGTGCATATGGTCATTCTCTATGAGTGTAAATTTTAATTTTTTAGCTTTCCGTATCTTCAAAATTGTGGATGCCACAGATTTTCGTCCTTTGAAGGCGGAAGAGGGGGCGGCGAAATTTTGAAATACACTTGTGCAGGTTCGATATCACAGGAGTGTGGATACCAAATTTGGTTGCTTTAGCTCTTATAGTCTCTGAGATCTAGGCGCTCACTTTTTGCAATTCGCAAAGCCGACCATGAAACGTGTGTGTTAAGGAGAGACAGAGCGGGAAAAAAAGAAATTTTGTTCTTCATTCTGGCTATAATAATGATACGATCTGGTACGATAATGATAGATTCTGCAGTCTAGAAGATATAATCATTTTCTTCGATTCTGCGGATGGTTTTCTCGTATCCTTAAAATTGTGGATGCCATAGATTTCGTCCTTTTGTGGGGCAAAATGTCGTTGCTCTAGCTATATATATATTATATATATATATATATATATATATATATATATTATAGTCTTTGAGCACTAGGCGCTCATAGGGACGGAAAGACGGACAGACAGACAGGGCTTAATCGACTCGGCTAATGATGCTGATCAAGAATATATGTATATATACTTAATGGGGTCGCAAACACTTCCTTCTGGACGTTATACACATCCATTTTTACCACAAATCTAATATACCCCTATAGTCATTTTGAGTATCGGTTATAAAAAGCTTAGTAGAACCAGCGTAGCAAAACAAAACGTGATGAACGCCAGTGCTAAAAGCTCTCTCCCCCAGCGACGACATACCACACACTTCCGATTAGATCTTTTATTATATTAAGTAATCCAATCTCCAATCAGCAAACACCTTGCGAGCATAATGCCACTTCTCTAATTTGAAAAAATGAGATATCGAAAATATATTTTGTGGATCTGCAACTGATAAAATGAGGAACAGGAGCACAGGTGGGTAATGCACTCTTATTCCATCCTGCAATGGCAAACGGGCTTAGATCCAACCCCTCTCAAAGTATTTAAAGTATTATAATAAATTTCATTGGACACAAGGCAAGCCTTCTCACCCAATCGCATTATTTCGTACAAGAATCGCTTATAGATAAGCCCCATTCATAATATGATGATGAAAGTATCCCCCCAAATAATTCAATGCCATATATGATCAGAAATGTTTGGAGAATTCCTTTGTTATTGAGAGACATGAGAGGAGAGGAGACCGAGAGAAAGCTCTGGCTATCTGCGATTTGTTGTTGGTGGTCGGTCTATGATAGCTAGAAACCCATAATTACCAAAGCTCTAGAGCTAGAGTCGGTACGCTGCGAACACAAAGCTATATAAAGCTGAATATAAAACTATCAGCTTCTACCCGACTGGCGGCAGTCCACAAAACCCTGTCCAACCAGGCGTATACTTGATTTGCGAGTGTAAACTTTTGTGCGAAACGAATTTCAACAATATGGCGGCCAGCAAAGTACCCGACTGGATAAATGCGGAAATATTTGAAGATGTTCTCAAGTCAACGGTGCCTGGCTATTCCAAAGTGAAGACCTTCAAGGCTGACAGTGGCTCTGCCGCGGGAGAAAACTACGCAACGATCATGCTGCGTGTCAACATCGAAGTGGAGCTGGAAGGTAATATCCCTTGCTGCTGGAGTGGTGAATTTCCTCCATTTCAAACATATCTTTTTTCAGATGGAAAAGCCAAGGATGTCTCGTACATGGTGAAGCTGCCCCATCAGCTTGAGTTTTACCAGGAAATGATGAAGAAGACCAACATTTTCGACACTGAACGCTTGATGTACAATGACGTTGTGCCCGAGATGGAGGCGCTGTACAAGGCAGTGGGTGTAGATTTGATTTTCGGTGCCAGGAGCTACGATTTCAAAGGAGCCAAGAGCGATTATGTTCTGTTGGAGGATCTGAGCATAAAGGGATTCAAAAATGCTAACCGTCTGGAGGGATTGGATCAGACGCACACGGAAAGAGTTCTGAAGAAGTTGGCCCAATGGCATGCGGCCTCGGCCGTGCGTGTGGCCACGAAGGGCTCATATCCGGAGATGCTTACCATGGGCTTCTTCAAGGAGGAAAGCAAGCCCATGATGACCGAAATGATTAATGGAATGATGGCGAGATTCCTCAAGGTCTGTGTTACCTTCGAGGGCCACGAGGAGTGGATAGAACAGATTGTAAGTAACCAAATATAATCCTGGAAAAGGTAATCCTGGAAGGTATAGCTGATATCCTACCTCGCCAATTCCAGAAAGCACTTATTCCCGCATCCATAGATGAAATGTACAAAATGGCCAAGATCGATCCCCAAGAGTTTAATGTTCTGAACCATGGAGACTCTTGGTCCAATAACATAATGTTCCAATACGATGCCTTCGGTACGATTAAGGAGGTGTATCTTGTGGATTATCAGATTCCCAAGTACGGCACAGTGGCCCAGGATCTGTTGTACTTCCTGCTTTCGTCCACCAGACTGGAGGATAAGCTGAGCAAATTCGATTACTACATCAAGTTCTACCACGACAGTCTGATCGAGAACTTGAAGATCCTCAAGTACACGAAACCCTTGCCCACGTTGCGAAGCATTCACTTGGCCCTATTGAAATATGGAGTTTTCGGTAGGTCAATCTTTAGTACACTCTTTTAATGTTCATAATAACACTCTCAATTCCAGGTTACTCCGTTGTAACTGGAGTTATGAGTGCAGTTCTGTTGGATCCTACGGAGAATGCCAGCTTTGAGAACTTCGTGGGCGACAGTGCGGCCGGGGAGGCCTTCCAGTTGCAGTTGTACACCAATCCTCGCTACCGCAAGCATATCCAGGCTATCCTACCCTGGCTCCTCAACCGTGGGGCCTTGGAGATCAGTGCTCCAACAAGCCAATAAGAAATTTACACAATGCCCGCTGTGCGATAGAATTTAACGCAACCGACCGACCGTGTGATAATGCTGATAATGATATCTGTTTTTTTTGATAATGTGCACACACAAGTATTAATAAAAACTAAAATTATTCTCCAAACCTAAATCGATAACGGGTTTCAGTTCAGTTCAGTTTCGAATCAGTTTGCCAAAAGTCATTGTGAATCGTATTTTTGGGATCGATGGGGGGTTGAAGTGGGTTGTGACTTACGCTTCCATAGAAAAAAAAGCACGGAAGATAGCGACACTACGCAACTGATGTTCAAACAAAAAACGAATACTTTGACATGAATGCGAAATTGTCGTATCAAAACAAAACACTTGCTGGAAAAAAGCTTTAATCTGTATTATTACGAGTACTCTACGTATACTACTACTACGATCTTTCCGAACATTGTACTCCCAAAGCTTCATCGCTATGGCATGGTATGGATGGTATGGACACTATGAGATCTGTATAGAGTGAAATTTTAATGTTAAAATGGAAGTAAAGTTCAAACTGAAGGCCGTCGAGATTTCCAAATGGTATGATCTTTTTAGCCGATTTTTTTAATACTAATTATAATACGTTATTACTTATGATTGCATGCACAATTTCGGAACAACTGAATAATATTTGTTGCCCAAAACAATAATGTCGTATTTTCGTCCTTGGAGATTTTAATCTTCCAAATATTTCCTGGTCTCCATCCAAGGACTCTAATCAGATGTTCCCATTCATGCAGGTAAACAGCATATGCAATAGCAGAGGTAGGATTTTAGACCTTGACCACCGACACAACAAATACTGTAGTCTAAAGAGGATCCCGTCTATCTTTTTCCGAAGACCTTTTTCATCCCACCCTGGAAATTGATACCCACCAAACCCTGCATAAAGCCTTCGGCTATATTTTGTTTCATGAGATCGAGTCCGCCACTAACGCATTCTACAGCACAGATAATTTTATGACTTATGATTTGTACAATAAACAATAGCTAGAGAAAAAGCTTTGTAGAACCAGCGTAGCAAAACAGAACGTGAAGAACGCCAGTGCTGAAAGCTCTCTCTCCCCCAGCGACTACACACGACACACTTGCGATAAGATCTTTTATTATATATTATTATAAAATATATATTATATTTTATTATAATCCAATCAGCAAACACTCTGCGAGCATAATGCAACTTTTCTAATTTGGCATGGAACTCGAGGTCTTTGTTGTAGGCTTGACTTTATATTTAATCAGAATAATACGACCACAGTCAAAGAGCGACAAAAGACTGCCCTATGCGATTATTCGTTATGCGGTGCAGAGTACTGTCTGACGATAAGTGTATTATCCAGATGTCTGGTTTGATTAAAGTAATAAAAAAGGTTATGCAGTCTACAATATAATATAGTATATATGCACTTTATCAGTGATTGCACCTTATCACTTAAGAAAGTGATAATATTAGATTATATTAGTCGCTTCAAGAGCAGATAATTGCTCCCGAGACTATATAAAGGGCTGCACTTAAATAAAAAGAAGTGTAGCAGGTCTGAGGGCGAACGAAAGAACGACGATTCCACCGACCATGGACATACAGAAATCCATCGAAATTCCGGAATGGGTGAGACCTGAGATCTTTGAAGATCTCCTAAAACACCAGGTCAAGGATTACAAAGAAACGAAATCTCTAAGACCCAGTGCAGGAGTCGCTAAGGGCGAAAATTATGCCACCATAATGCTGAGGGTTGAGTTGGATGTAGAAACTGAAGGTAGGTACTTCTCAAATCAGTCTGTTCTAGAGTCAAACCATACAAGCAAATTTGTTTCCTTTTCAGACAAATCACAGGTGACAAAGGCCTTTATGCTGAAGACACCCATGGCTGCACATCGCCTTATATTAATTAAAGGAGATAATATTTTCGACACAGAGCGAGGAATGTATTTGAAAGTAGTACCCGAGTTGGAGCAAATGTATCGCGATGTGGGTCTCGAGGTGAAGTTCGGGGCTGACGCCTATGAGATCCCCACCAGCGATTACTATGTTCTGCTGGAGGACCTGAAGCCCCAAGGATTCAAGAATGTCGATCGTCTACAGGGTTTAGATCAAGCTCACACCGAGAGTGCTCTGCGGAAATTCGCTCAATGGCATGCCGCATCGGCAGTCCGTGTGGATACCAAGGGGCCATACGAGGAGAAGTATACAAGGGGATTCTTCAAAAGCCAGCCAGTCTTAAGCTCTATCTGCAATGGTAGCATGAAGTCTTTGCTGAAGTACATTGAACTCTACGAAGGACACGAGACGTACTTAAAGGATTTGGTAAGCAAAGAAATGGGACAAACGTCCTCTTAATGCCTTTTCTAATTTGTACGTATATCTACAGCATAATATTTCGAAGAAGTTAATGGATGTGGTTGTTGGTCTAGGAGAGCCGAAATCTGAAGAGTTCAATGTTCTAAATCATGGAGATGCGTGGAGCAATAACATTATGTTTCAGTACAACGAGAAAAATGAGATATTGAATACATATTTTGTGGATCTTCAATTGCCAAAATGGGGAACAGTAGCACAGGTGGGCTATGCGCTCTTATTCCATCACGATTGCTATCTAATACTATATTTTTTCCTCAGGATTTGTACTACTTCCTCCTTTCATCTCCAAGCTTGGCTATTAAAACCCCGAAATTCGATTATTTCGTTTGGTTTTATCACTCGGAGCTCGTCAAGCACCTTCAACTCCTAAGCTATTCAAAACCTCTGCCTACGCTGAAAAGTATACTTCACGATCTTTCCAAGTACACTGGTTGGGGTAGGTGATCCTCTTGAAATACGTTTTACAATATTTTTTCAATCCTATCCTCATCTATCTTTTAGGTTTCATTTCCACCATATGGATACTGGGTTATGTTTTGATGGATCCCACTAATTACACTGGCTTTGAGGCACTCTTTAGTGACGAAGAAAGTAGTTTTAAGAAATCAATGTTCACTAATCCCAGATACCGAAAGCATGCGGAAGTCCTTTTGCCATGGCTCCAATATCGGGGCGCCCTGGAATAAACAATAAATTATATATTTTCAAAATACTGTATACTACCCAATTCATTTTTTTTTACAATATTTTATAGCCTAGGAAAACGCTATTTCAACGCTAAAAATGCAGTGTAACGGACAGAAATAGAACGGGGGCGGACGTGTTCATGTTGTCTACATGAAATCTACATCTACAAGCATCCATACATACATTAAAAGAAATCTCCATGTTACTTACATTATATCGACATTAAAATGTTTGATTATGACATATATATGCTTTCTACCTAATATCTTCATGATCTACACCATCATAATCTTGCGAAGCTATTGGGGTATATTAGGTTTGCGGTGAAAATGAATGTGTGTAAAGCCCATAAGGAAGCGTTTCCGACCCGACCTTATAAAGTATATAAATTATTGATCAGCATCAGTAGCCGAGTCGATTGTGCCATATCTGTCTGTCCGTCTGTTCGTCTTGTTAGACACATAGTTCTCAGAGACCATAAGAGCTAGAGCAACGAACTTTTGTATCCAGACTCCTGATATTACACTGAATCATAGAGAATGAGTATATCTAGCATCTGAATCAGTCTCTCGCTCATACACTCTTCGTCGTGGAGGGAATCCATGCTGACTAAGTACCGGGTATAAATGTGGAGTCGCGGCCGTAGCTGCGACTCATAACGTTCCTTTTCGGTTTTGAATGATTTTTGTCATGACATGATTCTGCAAATAAAGTTGAGATGCAAGTCCTTACGAGTTACGTATATAACGTAAACCGTGATAACAAGCTTATCTTCCGGATGATGATTTTAACAAACCCAAGCTCTAGTAATTAATGAAAGTTGCACCTTTTGTGCCTAATCACAATGAGAACGTAAAGATTTGAGATAATCAACCGTCTTGTCTGTCTTAAATGATAATGTTTATCGCTCATAACAGAATAATTTGTTCGCGAGAATATTTAAAAGACTGCGCTAGAAGGCAGCCAGCACTACGAGTAGATCTCTTAAAGCGAAAGAATCAACACAGTTCTCCTAAGATGCCGCCACAGACCAAGGACGAAGGGGAATGCAGCGAAGCTAACCAAATTCCGGAATGGGTGAAACCAGAGGTCTTTCAGGATCTCCTAAAACAGCAGGTTAAGGATTATAAGCAAACAAAATCCTTGAGAACCAGCGCAGGTGTCGCTAAGGGGGAAAACTATGCCACCATAATGCTGAGAGTTGAGTTGGATGTAGAGACTGAAGGTACTCCTCATATCAAATCAGCTTTGTTTTGTATGTTATAATAGAGGATCTTTTTTTCCGCTCAAGATAAATCCAAGGTCACAAAGGCCTATATGCTGAAGACCCCCCACGACACAGACTCCTATCGAAAACTATTGCAAAAATCGAATATATTCGATATAGAGCGCGGAATGTACATGAAAGTGGTTCCCGAACTGGAGCAAATGTATCGTGATGTGGGTTTCGAGGTGAAGTTCGGCGCTGACGCCTATGAGATCCCCTCCAGCGACTACTATGTTTTGTTGGAAGACCTGAAGCCCCAAGGATTTAGAAATGCCGATCGTCTACAGGGTTTGGATCAAGCTCATACCGAGAGTGCTCTGCGGAAACTCGCTCAATGGCATGCCGCATCGGCAGTCCGTGTGGATACCAAGGGAGCATACGAGGAGAAATACACGAAAGGATTGTTCAAGAGCCCAGAAATAGTTCATGCCTTGTTTGACGGCAGCATGAAGACGTTGCTGAAGTACATAGAACACTATGAGGGGCGCGAGACGTACTTAAACGATTTGGTAGGCAAACTAACTAACAATGTAAATTACAATAAGTACTTATTATGTTATCTAAAAATGTCTCTACAGCTAAATATCTCGAAAAAACTAGGGGATATGGCGGCTGACATAAGCGAAGCGAAACCTGATGAGTTCAATGCTCTCAATCATGGAGATGCTTGGAGCAATAACATTATGTTTCAGTACAACGATAAAAATGAAATATCGAATACATATTTTGTGGATCTTCAATTGCCAAAATGGGGAACAGTGGCACAGGTGGGTATTTCACTCTTATTCCATCACGATTGCTAGCTAATATTATATTTTATTTTTCAGGATTTGTACTACATCCTCATATCGTCAACAAGTTTGGACATAAAAACATCGAAATTTGATTATTTCATTTGGTTTTATCATTCAGAACTCGTTAAGCACCTCCAATTGCTGAAATATTCAAAGCCTTTGCCCACACTTAGAAGCATTCACAATGATCTTTCCAAGTATAGTGGTTGGGGTAAGTAGTTCCATTCTAAAATACAATTTTCCAATTTTTAATTTAATCATAAATCTTTCAGGCTTGGTTTGCTGCATATCTATAATGGGATTCGTTTTACTGGATCCCATACTGGATGATGATGGTGATTTCGATCAAATTCTTAGAGGCGAAGACAGTAATTTTAAGAAGTCAATGTTCACAAATCCCAGATACATAAAGCATGTGAATTCCATCCTGCCATGGCTGCAGCATCGTGGGGCAATGGAATAGTAATATAATTAATTTAAGTTTTTTATTGGCTTTCAACCTACCACAAAACACAAGTTCAAAGAGCTTATTTAAGCCTCGAAAGATTACAATAAGTGATATCGCTGTACTTATATTTGATGATATGACATTCTGGTAATTAAATGCACTTTTGTTAATCGAGAGAAGAGAATGTTCTGCCCAGATCTCTAGTATATGTGCTTTAAATTAGCCGATTTCAGCATATATGTATGTTTAGTATTTCATCGGGTCTTGTAAGTACAGGGACCCGACATAGACCTTCAGAAGCAAACATAAATGAACGAAAGTGCTAGCAATGACGACTTCAACGCCGACGAGCTGGTGGCATCCGAATGGCTGAATGAACAGTTTGTCACAGAAGTTCTCAGCAATTATGAAATGACACCCGAACTGAGAATAAATATGTTGACCTTCTTCCCGGCCAGTGTCAGGGGAGATCACTATGCCAGTGTGAGGTTTCGAGCCAAAGTGGAGTACACCAAGCGGAGAGGAGCAGGAGCCTCCACCAAGTCTCTAATCATCAAGACGATGCCCGAGCAGGAGGGACACAAGAAGGAAATGTTTGCCGACTCCTATCTCTTAAAAACGGAGTTAGGAATGTACAGCACAGTCCTGCCGGAGTTTGAGAGGATACTCCGACGGGCGGGAGATGACACCAATATGCATGGGGAGTGCATATTTCACAGTCTAAAGCCACGACAGGTGATGATTTTCGAGGATCTCGTCGAGATCGGCTATTTTGTGGTGAGGGATCGTGCACCCACTTTTGAGGAAATTCGTCGGGCCTATTTAAAGCTGGCCAAATGCCATGCCGTCAGCATGAAGATACTAAATAAATAAACAAGATTTAAAATACACATTTTTCTGCTACTCATAATCCACATTTCCTTAAAGACTATACACTCGGATTGTTTGGTTTATGTGCTACGATGGAGGACCCCATAATGGCAAGCGGAATGGCTCCCTTTATTGAACTGCTCGGCAAAGTGCCGGAGTTCAATAATTACAAGCCATACTTTGAGAAAATCAAAGCAAATTATTTACAACGCGTGAGGGACATCATAGAGGAGCATCGTGAGAATCAAAGGCCGGATGGGTATTATGTGCTTTCCCATGTCCAAGAACAATGACGAGATAGGTGCCTGCGAGGACTGTATGCTGCTGGATTATCAAGTCAGCAAGTTATGCCCCATTACTATAGACTTGATCTACTCGATCTATTTGTTGATGGACCCCGAGCAGCGTTGGAATGATTTGGATGACTTGATTGGCTTTACTTTTCGGTTTTAATAGAAACTCTTAAAATAATCGATTTTAAAGGAGAATTTCCCACCCTAAAAGACCTGTGGCAGCAAATGTATCGTCACAAGCACTATATTATGTTATAGCAATTTTATTAAAGCTGTTTTTCTGCAGACTTCTTTTCGATCAGCACAACTTTGCCCTTCATTTGGGCGTTGAAAATCAAGGCCTTTGAGATTGAGGACCTGATAAAACAGAAAGAATTGCGTGCAAAATTCTATAGCTTGGGAGGATTCATTGAAGATGTGACAAGAATGCTGGATAGATTCGATAGATTGGGCTACTTTGAAGAACTATGAGCAAAGCATTGACTTGTTATGAATTTTCATGAATTTTATATTAATATTCTAAAAAAGTCTATATTCAGATTTTTCCAAAAGAGGTTTCGCTCTTCATAAGCTTCTAGCTGTGCTTTCTAAAGAGCTTATAGGTTATTCTTTCAAGTTCTCAGATTTCTCTCAGTATTTGGCGACAAAAGCTCCTCCAATCATTGCATCAATGATAGCGGAGAAGACCGTATCGGTAGGGTCTTTTCTCTAATTGAATTAAAACTGTAAAACTTTTAACATGGAAAGATAGTATGGATTAATTCTAGTTCGCATATTTAGGCCACTTCTTTTATGAAATTTTACTGGTATTACTGTGATTAAAAAAAAAAAAACGGCCTCTAACTGGCTGCAACTTAAACTTTTTGAGAGATTTTGGAGTTCTATCGAGTTTTTTACAGTGCAGCCATGTCCTTCGCAATAACTAAGAACATTTTAATCAGCTATTCCACCTATAAGATAGACGGAAATAAGATAGTATACTTGCATGCTCTCTAATTTGAATTTACAGACCTATGTAGGTGATGTTTTTTGCCAACGCTTTCGATAAGGAAGGCAACACAAAACCAACATGAATTTAATTTGCATTGTAAGAAATGTGAAGATATTGATAGATCGAAGCAACACTTTGACATGCAAATGATGGTCTTTAACGATTACCAAATTTTCTATCAAAACTTCCGAGAGATTCCCCACTTCAAACCTCGAGGAACATCTGGGGGCTTCGTTTATACCCATCACATGTCTCACGGTGAATCAGAGTGTGCTGGTGTACAGCAATTAATAAAGTATCAGAAAATAATTAGAGCGAATGGCAGGAGCAAAGAGAACATCAGCAAACGATAAAGACTTGGAAATAGAAACGAGAAACAGTTTTTTCTGTTATCAATCAAACAATAGACGACGTTTCGTTCCATATCAAATGTTTGTATAGACATCACTACACGGCGTACGGGTGATTGTCGACTCTTTTTGCCGGTTTTGGCGAATTGAATTACAAAATAAACTTCAATCAAATGCAGGCGATAAGGAATTTCTATGCTTATAGCCAAATCGGGGCAAAACGGCAGTCCCCGTATCGCGCTGCTCGTATTTTCAAATCGACAGTCGCCCGGGACTGCAGTCAATCGAGAGCTGCTCGAATTATCAGGCACGTAGCTCCCTCCATTCACCAATTAAGGAAAAAGGTTTGCACGTCCAAAAATCTCTTCGTAGCTGGGTGACACATTCGCGATTTCCACGGAAAGTTCTTTAGTGCCTTATACGGTCAATACTGTGTGGAGTGTGCTGTTTGCTGGCAGTCCAGGTGTGAAAATATATAAATAAGGCTACGAATAAGACCCAAAATTTAGTCATAGGCCAAGGTTTTGGAGTGAAGATAATACATAGTTCTGTGCGTTATTATATTTAATTATCCTTATAAAAGGATAATAGCTCTGTGATCTGTGTGAAGTTTGGTTTTTTCTCGTCATAAAAAAGGTACTATTGTCCACAGGTTTCGTAATATTATCGCTTTAGCGTGTGTCCATTAACTGACATGTGACCTGATTTATGATATGCCTTCATTAAATAGCGATTGGCTTGATAATAGGCTAATCAATGAAAGTTCGGTAATTACCCCGATTGCAAGTAAAGCCCTATTACATATCTATATTGCTGATGATTCGCAATGAATTTATCTATGAACAAATATATGTATTCTATATATTAGTATATAATATTATATATATTTCTTACAGTATATCGATGCACTTATACTTAAGTTGAAGTGTTCTTCTCTATCATAAATTGTCCTAAATGGTTGTTGATACCGAGAAAACACTTGATAAGCGGTATGGTACTCTGCTGTCTCATATCCCATTCACTCGTATATATTAAAGATAGAGGTTCCATGGGAGGTTTGATTGGAAGACCAGATACCTCCTCTATATATTATTATTGTGAACTGATTCCACAACGTTATCTCAATATTCTTTGATAGTTACCGACATGGTAATCCCTATATAATTATAGTGCATCTAATATAATGCATGAAAAAAAGATATTTTATGTCAGATATCTGTGGTATCTGTTCTGTTCAAACATGGGTGTTCTTGATGGGATGGGTTAAATTTCTCGCGCCTCAAAATAAACAGCCATTGGCGCCACCTATGTGTGATAAAGTTTTGATAACGGTTATAAAAACTCGACGAAACTTGCCTTTTTAGTGTGACTGTACCCTTATCAGGTTAAGATTATTTTTGAACGAAATTTAAAATTTACTGACAGAAGTTAACGCGATAATCTTTGACAGGTCGAACATGCCTGAGGCTACCAATGGTCACGATGAGGCTACGGCTAAGCCTGTTCCTGCCAGCAATGTGCCCGAATGGCTGTCGAAGATAACCCTTGAGAAGGCAGTCCAGGCACAAATCGGGGACCATGCGAAGATCATCGCAGTAACGCCACAGCAGGGAAGCAGCGAGGGCGAGAACTATTCCTCCCTGTTTCTCCGGCTGCTGGTGGACGTGGAGTTGTTTGGTAAGTGCTCTTGCCTGCCCCACGACGATTGTGAATAAATAAGCTGGTAATCTACCGATCCTTATGATCTTCCAGATCACTCCACCAAGAGTCTGTCCTTTGTGCTTAAGGCACAGCCCAACAATGACGTGATGGCCGCCATTCTGGGCAAGCTGAAACTCTTCCAAAAGGAGGAACTGATGTATCACTCTATATTGCCAAAGTTCGAGCAGCTTTACGCGGATGCCGGGAAGCCCATACAGTTTGCCCCCAAGGCCTTCAAGGTAGACCGCGATCTGGGCGTGGACTACATCCTGCTGGAGGATTTGCAAAAGAAGAATTTCAAGAATGCCAATCGCCTGGCGGGTCTTGATTTGAATCACATGCAGAGGGTCCTGGAGAAGCTGGCCGCCTTCCATGCCGCGTCCGCCTGCTATGTGGAGCATCATGGATTCTTTGGTGAAGAGTTCGTGGTGGGCGTGTTCAGTGAGGCCAATCGACAGCTGTTGCAGGAGTTCAATGCATCTGGAGCCTTTCTGGCACAGCTCAAGAAGTGGAAGAATGCTCAAAAGATATACGAAAAGTTGGTGGGTTTACAGATGGATTTCCTAGGAACCATAACAAAATATTTGATATCTTTTTGGGATCTCTTATAGGCTGATAGTGACAACTATCTGGTGGATCGTCTGCTGCAGGATCAACAGTTCAATGCCAGGGAATTTAATGTTCTGAACCATGGGGATTGCTGGGCGAATAATATAATGTTCCAGCATGATGCTTTTGGAACCATTAAGGAGACACTTTTTGTGGACTTTCAAGTGGGAAAGTACGGCAGTCCGGTAGTGATAACATTCATTTTCATGGCTTGGAAGTTCTTATATCTTTTTTCCCCCCCCCCAAAAAGGCCAATGATCTGTACTATCTTATCTTGTCCTCGGCTGCCCCAGAACTAAAAGCGGCCAAGTTCGACTATCTTGTGCGTTTCTATTTCGATAATCTAATCGAAAACCTGAAGCTACTGCAGTACCATCGACCCCTGCCCAAACTAAAGAACCTACATGCAGCGCTCTTCCGCAATGGTTTGGCTGGTGAGTAATCAGTGATTTCTCCTTTTAGTATTTTCTAATAATTCCCACAACTTCTGTCTATCAATAGCCTACATGGTGGTATCCAAAGTACTGCCTGTGGTCATGTTGGACAAGACAAACAATGCCAATCTGGAGAGCTATATGAATGATGAGTCCAAAATGAAGGTGGCAATGTTTACGAACCCCAAATACGTGCAGGTGATGACGGAGCTGCTGCCATGGTTGGATAATCGCGGCCTGCTCGACTGGAAATGATTATATTAAGGGGCCAAATTACGGCTGCTAATAATGTATATTTAATAGCAATACAGTCACAAGCTGTACAATTTTTGGCAATCAAATACAATGGCTACAAAATACATACAAAATGGATGTAAACACTTTACATTTTTATAAATGATTATTATAATAATCATAGAAGCATAGTTCCGTTTCTCTTAAAATGTTTTTGGGATAGCCCAAAGAGCCCGGAATGATTGTGATCAGATCTGCTGTTCCTTTCAGTTTCATTGATATATATTGTTCTATTTTCTATATCTTCATGTAGGCTTTTGGGTCTATATCAAAATTCTTCTGTTCTTTCAGTTCAGAAACTATTTATAAGCTACAAGTGTATTTTTTATTTATATAGCTCTTACAAAACATAGCTTAGAAAACCTAAAAAGTAAAAAATTCAAAGTGCAATGACAAATCAAAAGATACCCGAATGGGTTAATGGTCTCTCGCTGAAGCAGGCGATACATGCCACCCTAGGAGATGGCGAAAAGATCCTGGACGTTACGCCAGTCATTGATGAGATACAGTACCGCAACTGCACCGTTCTGCTGCCCATCAGTGCGAAGGTTCTCATGATGGATCAGACTTTGCGGAAGATCACGTTCATGCTGAAGGCCCAGCATTGCAGCAAGTTTCAGGCCAGGATCATGACCCACCTGAAGCTGTTCGCTCGAGAGGACCACATGTATCATAAAGTTTTGCCCAAGCTCGAGCACTTGTTCCAATCGGTCGGCAAGACGGTGACATTCGGGCCACGGGCCTTCAAGCTGGACAAAAGCATAAAAGTGCACTACATACTGATGGAGGATCTCAGGACCAAGGGCTACCAGAACGTGTGTCGGCAGGAGGGCTTCGACTTGGTGTCCATTAAGGCGGTGCTCAAAAAACTCGCCGAATTCCATGCCGCCTCGGCTGTCTATGTGGAGCGCCACGGCATGTTTGGCAAACTGTTGGCCGATGGGGTATACACGCGGAACAACAGGAATATTTTGAAGAAACTGAACGATGTGGATCCCTTTCTGTCGCAGCTCAGGGGCTCCAGTCTGGCAAGCCGATTCCACAAGCGGCTGATCAACAAGGAACGCGTCCTAGTGGATCGCATGCTCGAGATGCACAGCCGACAGACTTTAACAGACTTTTGTGTCCTGAACCACTGCGACGGCTGGGTGAACAATGTGATGCTAAAGTTCGATTCCTTTGGCAAAGTGGAGGACACTGCTCTGATTGACTATCAGGTAGTCAGGTATGGATCTCCGGTGGGTACTTTGCACTTATTCTTATTATTACCTATATCTATTCATTATTCATCCCCTTAGGCCCACGACCTGTACTATACAATCCTCTCCTCTGCCCAAATGGAGATCAAGCTAGATAAATTTGATCATTTTGTGCAATATTACTATTACCATCTGGTGGATAATCTCAAGATACTCAACTACCGAGGCCGTACGCCGCAGCTCAAGAACATACGCGATGGTCTCCACAATAATGGTCTGGCAGGTGAGGTCCTAAGAGTTCCCAAGAGATCCCATGTTCCAATGATACCACCAATAATTAACTTCACAGCATATGTGGTGGCGACACGGGTATTGCCCATTGCAATGATGAGTCAATTAGAGGACGAGGTCAACGATCCATATTCATATGCAACCAAACTAAAGGGTTCCATGGCCAATACTAAGTACAGTCAGGCCATGAATGACATTCTGCCTTGGATGGACGATCGCGGTCTGCTCAATTGGTGTTAGGTCTCTCACCACAAAATGTTCTCAGTGTGAAGCATTCATTATTTAATTCCCTACTTTCAATTAAATGCGTTTTGTAATCACAAAAACCGACCGTGTTTATTACCTCACTCCTTATCATTATGGTCTAGTATAAAATTACTGTTCGCACGCCCATCTTTCAACCCTGAAAGAACAAAGTCATGGCACGACGCTGTTTCTCCGAGTATTTGCATTATTTCGAATATTCTGTGGTTCTTTCGTTTGGTATTGATACGAGTCGAGTGGTAAAAAAACCTAATCGCTGACGACACAACAGTCTAAATTGATAATAATATTTCTGTTTTATTAATCAAACCACCACGAACGGATCGAATTGGAAAGTAGCACGCGCCATAGCGTCAATTGTTCCAATGTAGTATGACGAGGCGGGATTCAATTCACATATTTCCCATTTCCATTTCCTATTTTGGTACTCTACTCAACCGAGAATATGTAGTTCTCTCTACAGACGATTGATCGTATGCCTGGCAGTGGCATTGGACTACTCAGTGTTTGGAATTTTAATTAATGTGTGGGTACAACAAATGCTTTGTTCTGTTCGTATGTCAACAAGTGTTCTGTAGGAATACATAGAGCGCACACACAGAAAATATTTAATCAAACAATCAATAGCTATACGAGTATACCTATAATTAACAACGTAATTGCATGTTTCGATCAGATTTGCCTGTTTGTGTGTGTCAAATTGATGATGATAAGGTTTCCCGTATTCCCATAGAACCTGTTCTCCAACCTGATAAAATTTCACCGAATATAGGAAACGGATGCTACGATTCGATCAATGGAAAAGATCTGTCACAACTGTTTCTTCAGCTACAACTTCAGCTTTTCAGCTTTTTCAGCTTATAAGCATTACTTATTTTATTCTTTATCAAAGCATTCCAAAGTACAATACATATAAGACACACCAGCTAATGCGAATTCAGTTAACGTTTGTCTTTTCTTAGAACCACAACAGAATTTACGCTACGCTACCCCGCAGCGCGTTGTTATTATATAATACATTAACCTTTTTTTTCTGGACAGAATAGATTGCCTAGGAAATTACTTTCGTAGTTATAGTTATATAATGGAAGAGAAACCCGTGAATCCCAATGAATACCTCGAAATACCCAAGTGGGTGAATGAGGACTACTTCCAGCCCATTCTCGAGAAGGATGTGAGCGGCTTTCAGAAGATCATCCGCTTTACACCCATTGCGGCCACGGCTCCGGGTGATAACTATGCCTCCATCATGATTAGAGTACATATTGACACCCTGCTGAATGGTAAGTGTGAAATTCTTTTCAAAAGAACCAAAATTTCCAAAGTTCTTTCAGATGGTAGCGAGCAAAAGATATCATATATACTGAAGACCCAGCTGGACGTTAACAAGGGAGGCGCCATGATCAGTCAGATGGGATTTTTCGGCAAGGAAAAGGAAATGTACAAGGACCACATACCGCAGTTTGTGAACCTCTACGAGGAGGCGGGATTGAACATTGAGCTGGCCCCAAAGTGCGTGCACATTGGGGAGACTCCCGAGAGCATCACCCTGGTCTTTGAAGATCTGAGTCGGCAGAATTTCAAGAATGCCGATCGTCTGAAGGGTTTCGATATGGCCCACATGCGTTGCGTGCTCCGGAAATTGGCAGAACTCCATGCGGCCTCGGCGGTCAATCGTTTACTGATCGGGCCCTACGCTTCGAGGTTTTACGACTCCTTTTTTAATGAAGAAAATAGGCCGATGTTGACCAAGATCCGAGAAATACGTGAGCCTCAATTTGTAAAAGCCATGCTCGAGTGGGGTGTTCCCGATGTCGAAAGATACCTTAAGAAATCTCTGACGCCCTCACAGTACTTTAATGCGGGGCTAAAGCTAAGCCAAGTGGATGAGAGCGAGTTCAATGTGCTGAACCATGGTGACTGCTGGTCCAACAACATCATGTTCAATTACAAGGAGAATGGAGAGATCGACAGGACAATTTTTGTGGATCTGCAGGTGGCCAAATGGGGCTCTCCAGCGCAGGATCTTTGGTACATGATCATTACCTCCGCCTCGCTGGACATCAAAGTCAAAGAATTCGATCATTTCATTCAAATCTATCATGAACGTCTGGCCGAGTGTCTGAATATCCTTAATTACTCGAAGCCCATTCCCTCTTTGAGGGATATCCAAACACAGATGTTGAAGTACGGTTTTTGGGGTGAGTCTGACAAGAGATTCGCTATAGGATCTATCTGATTAATCTGAGTCTGTTGCAGGTCCTATTACGGCAAATGGTGTGATGGTGATCGTCCTCTTTCCGTCGGATAAGGACGCCAACATGGAAAAGTTAATGGGTGTCGGTCCGGAAGCAGAAGCTCTTCGAGACAGGAGCTTCAGAAATCCCTACTATGCCAAGGCGATGACACAGTTGCTTCCGTTCTTCGATAACAAGGGTCTCCTGGATGAGGAGTAGTATGATATATGTATACTGTTTGATTTAATGTGTAGCTTGTAACATATTGTACGTACATATATGAATCGATTCTATCCTCTATCTGTACTCAGGTCTCGTCTAGATTTGTATTTAAAATACGAATAAAGAATTAATAATTACAATAAAAAAAAAAGTTATGTAAACAAATTTGTGTCGTCGTCCGATATTATACTCATATCAGCGCTAAAGAGCGAAGCGAGGGAGCCGGGGGTCGTTTTTCCTATTTTTAAAGATCACATTTGTCTAAGGAGATTGGGATAACGATAAACTAAAGGACTTCGAAACAGGGTCACAATTTCATTAAATAGGGGTGCTATTATTAAATAACGGAAACGATTAAATAGATGTATTTTTGTTGTTTGTGTTTCCTCGCCAATCAATTTGTGGGTGTGTGTGCGGTGGCGTCCAAAGAAAAAACCAGTTTACGCTATCAGCACACACAGATACACACTGCAGCAGTTACACTTGTCGAACTGTGGGGCTTTTGGGGCTTACAGTACATAAATGTGTGACCCGCCGTGTGGAGAGCTCAGTATTTGTTTGTCGTTAGAAATCGTCGGAAGCCCAGCAGAAACGCAACCCAATCAGTTCTCCCTCCGAGCGGGCATCGCATTCATTCATTCAAATTAGAAATTCACAAAAGTCGGTCAGTAATAAATCGCAATAAAAGCGACATTTAAGTGAAATGCGAAAAGAGATTAATTACGAGATATGCCATCCAGTGATACTCTTAAGAATATAGTGCTATATATGTACTTGTGACTGCTTGCGCCATACCCAAATGAATGAAATTATAGTAAATTATACGTAGCGTAACTGAACGATAAAGGCCGTTCTAGACTTAGATAAGTCCATAGGAAACGAAACAAGTTAGACAGTGTCTGAAAGTGTAATTTGGCCTCTCACCATGACGTAACAATTTCTATACATAAAAAATGCTTTAGAGCCGTTTTATTGTTTTGATCTTGAACCCACGATCGTTTCCGATCTCTAGTCTCTGATCTCTTACTTACAGTCAGTCCCAATATGTCGCCAAACAGCAGCTCAGAGAAGCCGGTGAATCCCAATGAACACCTGGACATACCAAAGTGGGTGAATGAGGAATACTTCCTGCCGATCCTCGAAAAGGATGTGAACGGCTTCGACAAGATCGTCAGCTTCACACCCATTGCAGCCACAGCTCCAGGGGAAAACTATACTTCCGTGATGATCCGGGTGCACATCGATGCACTGCTGAAGGGTAAGTCCAGAGGAAATCTCATGGGAGTATCCATTTGCTTATCCAAAATCATCTTTAGACGGCAGCAGGCAGAAAATTTCCTATATCTTGAAGACCATGCTGGAGTCCAGCGAGGGCGCGGATGCCGTCAATGCCATGGGTCTCTTCCCCAAGGAAAAGCAAATGTACGAAGTGCACATACCCCAGTTTTTACAGCTCTACAAGGAGGCGGGAGTGGACATTGAACTGGCGCCAAAGTGTCTGCTCGTCGATCAGACGGCAGAGGCCATCAGCCTGGTTTTTGAGGATCTAAGCCGGCAGAAGTTCGTGAACTGCGATCGTCTCACAGGCTTCGACATGGAGCATATGCGTTGTGTACTCCGCAAGTTGGCCGAATTCCATGCCGCTTCGGTGCTGGTCCATGACCTAAACGGCCCCTACGACGAGCTGTATACCAAATCCATGTACAATGAGGAGAGTCGTCCCCTATTCGAGAAAATGGGTGAGCTGCGTCAGGCGCAGTACATCGCCGCCATGCGCCAGTGGGGCCTTGAAGATGTTGAGAAATACATTGAAAAGTACTGGGCTGCCGATGAGTTTTTCGACCTGGCGCTGAGTGTGAATGCGGTGGATGAGAGCGACTTCAATGTGCTGAACCATGGTGACTGCTGGTCCAACAATATCATGTTTAACTACAAGGAGAACGGGCAGGTGGACAGGACCATCTTTGTGGACCTGCAGATTGGAAAATGGGGCTCTCCAGCACAGGATCTTTGGTACTTGATCTGCACATCCGCCCATCTGGACATCAAGATCAAGGAATTCGATCATTTCATTCAGATCTATCACGAACGCCTGGCAGAGTGCCTGAAGCTCTTAAATTACTCAAAGCCCATTCCCTTATTGAGGGATCTTCATATAATGATGCTAAAATATGGCTTCTGGGGTATGTTTCTGAGGATTCTCTAAATAGATTTTAAATTCTAAAGTCTCCGTTTCTTTGTAGGACCCCTAACCGCCAACGGTGTAATGGTGGCCACCCTGATGCCCTCCGATAAGGATTCGAATATCAATACCATGATGGATCCCGGCCCAAAGGGCGATGCCATGCGTCTGAAAACATTCACCAATGTCTACTATGTGGAGGCCATGAAGCTATTACTTCCATTCCTCAAATTGAAGGGACTTTTGAAGGACTAGTATGTTTCTTTCTTGTTAGAGTTTATACCTGATATATTGTGATATTATATAGTATCATAGAAATGTGCAATAAATAAGAAATTCTATTTAACTTAATGAAATTTTTGATAAACTCTGTCAATGGTGGAACTTTGGACTTTGCAAGTTTCACTAGTAAAAGTAAATCATCATGACTGGCTGAAAATGGAAACACGCGAACGATTTTTTTTTTTTTAATAGCCTGGGGGTAATCGAGGGAGGCAACAGATGCGAAAATAAGTTGGTTTTACAAACCTAAGACGTAAAAACTACGACAAATACAATAGATAAGTTCCCAAGGTTTTTGGTTGATCAATATTTGCCATAAGTTCAGCAAACAGTAAGGCTTTTGAAATCTTAGAGCAGATGAAATTTTACAATTGATTGAACAAGACCACAGAATTGTCTCCACACTTGTCAATCATGGTTGAGAGAACTGGTCAACCACACTCACACTTCTTTCTATAAATTTATTCATACAAAAAATTATAATTATCCACTTGACATGATAATGAATGACATACTCGTATTTATGATGGCGTTGGTCGACTGTTACGTATGCTATTTATGGGAGGGCAGATCTTTAATTAGGAACACGCAAATAATTCTCATTCTGGGGGTGACCATCGCCCGATTGAAATCAGCAATTCAAATGAGATAAACATTCCGACAGTCTGATAATTTTCTTTAATTATCTTTTTTAAGTGTTGCGCAGTCACAAAATTCTTATATTATTGGGGTTCCAGAGTGGTTTTGGTTTCATTAGCTGATTTTCTCAGGTTTAAGAGAAGTTGAAACTTTCTTTTCTGGGAAACAAAGCTTGTGATAGAGAAAGTTGCGGCTAATCATTTTTAAACGACGCCTTGGTTTGATGCTGTTAAAAACTTCTTTAAAACAGATAAGGAATATCATCTGATGTACAAATTATTACACAAATTGGTATTACAAATCGAAATAAACTTTTAATAAGGATTTTTTGGTATAACAAATAATTAAAATCTGCTTTAGAAGCAGTTTAATCAGTTTATATGCAAAAGTTCATCTTGGATGAAACAGAACACATTCGATACTTTAGGTTTGTTTAAAGTAGCCTAATTGATCTAATCGTGGCAACAATATTGTGACATCTTTGACATAGCCCTTCAAAAATGAGCAGTTTCTACGCTTTTCGTCGTTCTGCAACAGATCACCGAAATCAGTTCCGTCCTCCCTTAGGGCCCACATTAATGGCAGGAATGTGCTTATCAAGAGGAAGTCTGAAAGAAGGGGATATAGGGATATATACCTAGGAATCATAGAAACAAACTTACGATAATATTTTTGTTGATGCAATCGCTGCCAGAGTCCATCTTCCGTGGGCATTTCTCCTTTGTATCCGATCTTCTTCAGAGTGCCCACCAAAACAGAGAAGTAATTCTTGAGCAGATCCTCCCAATGATCCCATCGTTGCTGTGGCTCCATCAGCATGTAGATGGAGTAGATCAAATCAATGGTCAAGGGGGAAATACTGCAGATTTGAAAGTCCAGCAGCATACAGTCTTCAAAGACTCCTGTCTGCTTGTTGTGCTTGAACATCATGTTACGTAGATGGAAATCTCCATGGCAGAGCACGTAATACTGATCTGGTTTCGGGTTCTGACGCATTTGCGTCCACTCATTCTTCAATCGCTGGAGAAAGTCTCCCTTAATGCTCTCAAAGTAAGGCTTGTACTTTCGCAGTTCGGGCTCTTTATCCAACAGTTCCAAAAAGAATGTTATCCCGGTGCCAATAAATACTTCCTCTAAAAACTTTGGCATCTCAAACAGTCCGGTGGTGTAGCCTTTGAGCACAGTGGGTTGCTAATTAGAAGGGAACCTGAGTGACAGTTGAAATATATATGTATTTCCTTGTGACTTACCTCGTTTTGGACTTTAAAGCTCGCAGCATGCCATTTCGCCAGTTTGGAGTACACAGAACGGACCTCATCAAGGTTCAATTCACGATCCCGTATCACAGTGTAGCCCATCTCCACCAGATCCTCGAAGATCATCACCTGACGCGGCTCCAGGCTGTGATAGATGCAGTCCACGTAGAGTTTTGCATCGTCCCCAGCGTTGCGGAGTATTGACTCAAACTCTGGCAATACTTTGCTGTACATTCCGATCTCTGTTTTGAAGATTGGCGAATCGCCCAGCATATCCTTCTTGTGACCCTCTTGTTCCGGCATTGTTTTGATGATTAGCGACTTGATGGAGGCTCCTTTCCGAGTGGTGTACTCCGCTTTGACCCGGAACATCACACTGGCATAGTGATCGCCCTTGGCGCTGGCTGGAGAAAAGTGCAGCCCGGTGACCTTTAGCTCGGGAGCCTTTTCATGCTCGCTAAGAACTTTTGTGATAAATTGTCCATTCAGCCATTCAGGTGCAACCAGTTCGTCGGCATTGAAGTTATCATTATCTGGATTCGACATTTAGTTGGTAATTTTTTTAATTATGAGTACTACCAGATGTTCTCCAAGTTCGTTCTGCTAACTGAATGGAGTTACTTAATATACCATACACTTTATATGGCTTTCGGAGAGCATAGCAGAACGTTTTCAATGCAAAATGAAATAGTGTAAGATTGCGGAGAGCTTTAAGTTTGCGATGAGCTTTTGTCGATTGGAATACAAAAGAGATAAGAGTGGATTGTAGGTTCTCTCACTCTCTCTCTCTCTCAAGTTTAAGGTTACGTTACCATAGAAACGATCCTAAGTTATGTTTACATTCCATTAATCAACAAATAACCCAATCTAATGGGCGTCACATTGCAGGCTTGCTAATCCAGCATTCAGTTCATTCAGTATTTTCATATGATGATGGCATGGATCTCTGCCAGCTTGCGGCAGGCTGAACAGATTTCTTCCTGGGTGAACCAGCGTCGCACCACCATCAGATCCTCGAAGATCATAACCTGTCGCGGATCCAGGCTGTGATAAATACAATCCACTTGACGAAGCATTCTCTCAAACTCTGGCAGAACTTTGCTGTACATCCCGATTTCCGTTCATTTCCTTCTTGTGTTTCTAATGCTCGGGCATCGTCTTGATGATTAGTGGAGGCTTGGTGGAGGCTCTCCGCGTGGTGTACTTCACTTTGGACCGGAATATCACACTGGCATAGTGATCGCACTTGGCGCTGGCTGGTGAAAAGTGCCGTCCGGTGACCTTTAGTTCTGGTGCATGTTCAAGCCATTTGCATCTATATTGTCATCCATTCTGATGAAAACTGAAAAGTTTTTAATTTGCCGAAACTTTTTATGTAAGGGGTGTACTGGCGTAAGTATTTCTTTAGTTGCGAAAATATTTTAAATCTTATCTAGTCTCTAAAGGGGGTCTGGTCTAGTTGTCGATTTGCAAAATTCAATAATCGAACTCGAACCAAAAGCTCCCTCTCCACTCTCTTGTTCCGTTTTCAAAAGCATTCCCATTATATCTTATCATAACGAAAACAACAGCTGTTTTTGCTACATAACCATTGAGAGTGAAAATTGAAGCCAGTTTGAGCTAAACTTTTGACGGGAAAAGTACTATGGACGAGATCAAGAATCCCAATGAACACTTGGTAATACCCAAGTGGATAACTCAGGAGTATTTCAAGCAGATCCTGGAAAAGGATGAGCCTGAGTATGTGAAAATCCTCAGCTTCAAGCCTGTGGCAGCCATACCACCGGGGGAGAATTTCACCTCCATCATGCTGCGTGTTCATTTGGAGCTGCAGTTGAAGGGTAAGCCAGCCACAGATATGGGATCTGATATAACCAGAACTGAGATCGATGGGGCCTTCAATAGATGGCAGCACCAAGCTGAAGACGTACATCTTAAAGACGGAGCTGGCGGAAGACCGTGGTGCGAAGGAAATCCGCGAAGGTGGTATCTTCAACAAAGAGCTGCAGATGTACCAGACCTTTCTCCCCGCCTTCGAGGCTCTCTATAAGGCAGCCGGTGAGGATATTCCTCTAGCACCCAAATGCTGGCATGCAGAGCAGCGCGGGGATAACATAAACTTTGTTTATGAGGACCTGGCGGTGAAGAGATTCAAGAATGTCGATCGTATTCGGGGCCTGGACCTTCCACACATGCAACGTGCGCTACATAAGCTGGCGGAGTTCCATGCGGCTGCATCCGTCTATGTGGAGCAGGAGGGTCCATTGCCCGCGGAGTTCAATGAAGGATTTATTGTCAAAAAACAACTAGCTCTGCAAGAGCATGGATGGGCGGTGAAATCGGAAGCATTTCTAAAGGCCATGGCTGACTGGGGGTTGGAGGATCAGGAGAAGTATACAAACAGTTTTGTAAGTCAAAGAAAGCTCTTCTATTCTCTAGAATTTATATTATGTTCTTATATCCCTTCTTTGTCCGTCAGCCAACTGCAAAGCAGTATGGAAAAGTGTGTGCCAGTAATTTGACGGGAGATCCTTTGGACTTCAATACTCTCACCCATGGCGACTTCTGGTCCAGCAATCTGATGAGCAACTATCTCGAAAATAACCAGATCGATGAGCTCATTATGGTAGACTTTCAGCTCTGCAAGTGGGGCAGTCCTGCGCAGGACCTGCTGTTTTTCATCACTCTCTCAGCCGCCAACGATATCAAGGTCAAGAAGTTCGACTACTTCATCAGGATCTACTGGGAGCGTCTTGTAGAGTGCCTAAAGTTACTCAAATACCAGAAGAAATTGCCCACATTGCGTGATCTTCAAACTTCCTTGTACAAGAAGCACAATACTTTCTACGGTATTTTTAGCGATTGACTTCCTTTTAAAACGAATAATGAAAGGCAATTTTCTTCAACAGCTGTCATGGCGGTATTCAATCATCTGCCGCTCATCAAATTTCCAACTGACAAGGATTCCAACTTGCATAACGTGATGCGCGAGGACGAGGTGGGGCACAAGTTCCGTCTGCGTCTATTTTCAAATCCCACATATGTGGAGGCTATGAAGGACCTGTATCCATTTTTCTATAATCGCGGCATTTTTAACTTTAATGATTTCTATTAAAAATAAAATTACCAAATGGAAAAATATTACTTACTGGATTCATTCATTAAAATCCAAACCAAGCAGTGCCGATATATGGAATATAGATGATAAAACTGACTCAACGCTTAGTTGCATTAATTGTTGTGCTGATTAGAGTATGGTGTATGCTGACGTCTTACGGTCCGGCCCACATTCTCACTATAACTATGACGGGGCCAAAAAATAAACTGTGAAAACAAACACAAAAAAACAGCCAGCCAGCCCCAAGCAGGTTTCACACACAATCCAATCACACGACACACGATCGCAAAACAAAAATTAATATTTGTATACATATATGTATTTCTAATCATGCGTGTGTCGTTTCAATTAAGTTTTTGAATGGGGCTCCAACTGAGTGTACACTATCTCAGAAATGTATATATAATTTATTGAACTCTACAATCAGCAGGAAACATTCGTAATGGTGAAAAACCAAAAAATCTTGTACGTGCTATCATACTATCGTGCTGATTAGTTTCCAAGTTGAGTTGGTTTTCAGCAAACTCTTTGCCTATCTTGATATTTATAATTGATATAAAGAAAGTCACTGATACAGAAATACTGGGAAAAACTAAGAATTTAATAGATTTGCGATTCTAGCGATTTCCTCGCTTCAGATGGGGCAACAAACTGAGAAAAATTGCTATCAATGAAACCATACACTCTATTATATAGCGATACGACCCCAATAGATCCGTGGAATAATTTCACCATAAAGTAACCCAGGACCGACCGATGGGCGCTGGTGCATGATGTGCGACACTAAATCAATAAATCTAATAGCTCTATCCCCCAGAGACTTGTAAACCCAGACAGATAGACAAGCCCTTACCATAGCTATCTCTATATATCTCTATATTGTTATGATTATATTTCCCTCTTCCAGACTATACAAACGAGACACTTGACAAAAATCACAACCATGCAAATGAATACTTAAATTGTAAAAACCACTAGAGTCATAATATAGATAAGATTGAATAGATAGTTAAGCTAACCAAAACAGCCAACTCACTAGAAGAGTATCTAATATTTGCTAACTTTTTTTTACAGTCGATAAGGGGTTGGAGCCTATAAAAAATAGTGCTGTGCTCAGTGTCTCAGTAGCAATTGAAGGGAGAAGTCGTGCTGGCATTAGAAATAGGAGACGCTACGATGAGTGAGGAAATAGTTAATCCCAACGAGCACCTGATCATTCCCGATTGGATCAATGAGAAGTACTTCACTGGAGTGCTGGCCAAAGACGAACCGAATCATGTTAAGATATTAAAGTTTACCAAAGTGGCGGCGATTCCACCGGGGGAGAACTTTACCTCGACTATGATAAGGGTTTACATCAAGTTGGAAATGAAAGGTTAGGGGTAGATACATAAAACTATAACTAAAACTTAGAGAAAGAGTAACATAATCTTCATCAGATGGCAGTGTCAAAACTAAAACATACATCTTCAAGACTATGCTTCCCGACGAGCGTGGCGGCAGTGCCATCAACGACTTTGGTCTGTTCCCCAAGGAGGCCAAGATGTATGACACCTATCTTCCTGCCTTCGAGGCTTTGTACAGGGCTGCCGGATGGAAGATACAGCTGGCACCGCAGTGTCTCCACACGGAGGAGCGCGAGGGCAATATTCACTTCATTTTCGAGGATCTGTGCGTCAAGAGATTCAAGAATATTGATCGCACCAAGGGCCTGGACTTGGAGCATATGACGCGGGCTCTGCACAAGTTGGCCGAATACCATGCCGCCAGTGCGGTCTATGAGGAGCAGAACGGACCCTATCCCAGTGAATTCCTTGAGGGTTTCGTCACCCTTAAGGCATCCAAGTTCCACATGGATGCATTTAAATTAAAAGAATCGGCCTTTAAGAAGGCCATGATGACATGGGGCATGACGGATGCGGAGAAATATGTCAAGGAATTCGTAAGTTAATGGAAATAACGAAAGGAAAGGGACTTTAAAGATCTCCTTATTCCAGCCCACTGCGGATCAGTATTGGGCTCAATCGTTGAGTTGCTTGGATGTGCTTCCAAATGACTTTAATGTCCTGAATCATGGTGACTTCTGGTCCAGTAATCTGATGAGCAATTATCTGCCAAATGGCAAGATTGATGAGCTAATCCTCGTGGACTTCCAGATCATCAAATGGGGCAATCCTGCACAGGATCTTCTATTTTTTATTATACTCTCGGCGGCCACAGATATTCGTATAAAGGAGTTCGAAAACTTTGTAAGAATTTACTGGGATCGTCTGGTCGAGTGCCTAAAGGTTTTGAAGTTCAAGAAACCCATTCCCACACTCAGAGACATTCAGAGGTCTATGTATGCAAAGGAGAATTCATTTTACGGTGGGTTTTTGAAAGAGATTTCCTATCGAATGTCTGAAAAATGTCGCTCTCTCTCTCTCTCCCTCTCTGCAGCGTTCTTTAGTTTGATGAACCACTTGCCAATCATATTGTTCCCAACCGACAAGGATAGCAATCTTCACAATCTGTCAGCAGAAACCGAAGAGGGCGAAAGACTGCGGTTGCGTCTTGTATCGAATCCTGTCTTTGGCAGTGTGATGAAGGATCTATATCCCTTTCTGTACAATCGCGGTTTGCTCAACTATGGTGATTACGATGTCTGATTACTTTATGGAAACTATTTTGCTGGCAAATAAAATATAGATAGTAGGAATCTATACTATATTTACCTTAAAATGTTTAATTAGTCTTATCTGTACGTGATTACTAGGGACAAATTTATCTAGAGATATGATATCTTTGCTTGATAAAATATATTTTAGAGTCAGTCAAGTTTAGGTTTCAGTCAAGATCAGTCAGAGATCAGAGCCATGGCGAAGATAGAGAACCCTAACGAAAGTCTTGTTATCCCTAAATGGTTAAGCGAAGACAAGTTCAAGGTCCTGCTGTCCAAAGATGAGCCAAATTATAATAAAATTGTACAGTTTACACCTGTGGCTGCCATCCCGCCAGGCAGTAATTTCACCTCAATTTTGGCGCGCGTCTATTTGGACTTGGAACTAAAGGGTAAGCTGAGATAGTGCATCAGCAGAATCAGAGACTATATGTCCTAAACATCTCTAAGATGGTAGCCTTAAGAGACAGAGCTATGTAGTCAAGACCACCCTCGAGTTGGACAAAGGTGGAAGGCTCGTCGAGGAGTTCCGGTATTTCCAAAAGGAGCAGCAAATGTACTCCACTTATTTACCCGCCTTTGAGCAGCTCTATCGCGAGGCTGGACATCCCATTCAACTGGTGCCCAAGTGTTTGGAAATTGGAGAAATGGATGGCTACCTGTACTTCATATTTGAGGATCTGTCATCGCAGGAATTCGTAACTGTGGATCGCAGCAAGGGTTTGGATATGGAACACATGAACATGAGTCTTCGTAAGCTGGCGGAGCTCCATGCGGCCAGTGTTGTGTACGAGGATCGGCATGGACCGTATTCCATCGACTTTGAGCATGGCTTCGCACATAAGGATAATACAGCGCACAGCAGACGAGGATTCGACGCAAAGGTCACGGAATACAAAGCAGCCATGTTGACCTGGGGAATTGAGGAGAGATGTTTAGAGAATTTCGTATGTGTTTTTAAACTTAATGAAGATTTCAAATCTTATATACTTTAATCTCTATTTCAGCCCACTCCTCAGCAGTACATTCAAATGTGTTTGGAATCCCTTAAAACCGATGCCAATGACTTTAATGTTCTCACTCATGGCGATTTTTGGTCCAGCAATATCCTCTTTAAGTACAATTCGTATAACAATTTGGATAAAGCTCTTCTGTTGGATTTTCAGCACTGCAAATGGGGTAGTCCTGCCCAGGACCTGCTCTTCATAATCACCATTTCAGCTGGCAGGGAATTGCGCCTCAGGGAATATGAGAATTTTGTGAGGATCTATTGGGAACATCTCATCGATTGTTTGGCCATACTAAGCCACAAGAAATTGCTGCCCCAACTGCGGGATTTGAACGCTGCCCTCTACAAAAAGAACAATACTTTTTACGGTGGGTTCTCTGTGAAATCTTTATTTGTATGATCCCTTTAGATGCACTTTTCTTTCAGCTTTCTTTCCGGTGATGAGTCATTTATCTACCGTTTTGCTGCCGACCGATAAGGATAGCAATCTGCACATCCTCATGTCCCAGGACGATGCTGGCAGGAGTCTTCGCACACGTCTCTATACGAATCCGGCATTTGTGGAGGTCATCAAAGAGGTGTATCCCTTTTACTGCAACCGGGGACTGTTCAACTTCGTTGACTACGACTGAATACCGATCGAAGCAGTTTTCATTCTTTCCATTGAATAAATTTCTGTGAATATTGAATCTGGTTTCAACAAGCTTCATCAATTGATATGAGCAGGGTCAGTACTTGAAATAGTTTCGATTGCAAATGCGGGTGGGGTGGGGGGTAGAGCCCCCGGATTTTAACAGACAGTAGAGATTGTAGGGTCTGAGAGATACGACTATCAAAAATGGGAAATAAACAAGGGATAACATTTGCAACCCCAAGAGATAGAAGAGCTTCCCCCTACACCCTGTTATCAGGCATTCACATCATCAAAGCTGATAAGACTCGACCATCCCTATCCCCATAGTATTCTCACACATAGAACTTTTAATGAATATAAAGGGGAAAAGCTCTTTCAATTATCACAGTATCGCCTGCTGTCGTGTGAGAGCGACTTTCGGGCCAAGACAAATCAGGCAAACGAGCGATGAATGCGATGCTCAGTGTCCGAGCTGTTGACGAACCAGTTAGACGGGGCGGGCAAATTGGCATTGCCTGATAAGTGAGCGCTTACCTTGCCCCCCACCTGCCACCTGCCACCCCCCACCTAGCACAACCGAAATAAGAAACAACATTCTCGATAAGAACAGGCAAAACAGAACGCCAGAAAAACAGTTGCGCCTCACTGTTCGGTTCGAGAACAACATACCACAACCGAGAACTTAAACGATCCGATCCGAAAGCATAGTGAAGTGAAATCTTCCATCAAAATGCCCGATAACAGCAACAAATTCAGCATAACTAGTTCTGTCCGCATACCGGAGTGGGTCAACGAGGCCTATTTCAAGAAACTACTGAAGCGAGAGTTTCGGGAGTTCCGACGCATCTTGAATCTCTCAATTATACCGGCCACGCCTCCGGGCGAGACCTATACTTCGCTGCTGATGCGCATTATCGTCGACATTGAAATGAAAGGTGAGAAAAAGGGGGTGGACCCTTGAGAGGTTGATGTTTGCACTGACAATTACCTCATTCACACTGCGCGCAGATGGATTCTCACAGCAGAAATCCTACGTGCTGAAGACCATGCTGGACGATGCCCAGGGTAATGGCTTCGTCAACACCCTGAATATCTTTCCCAAGGAGAAGCAAATGTACGATTTGATTATACCACAATTGGAGCAGCTTTACGAGCAGTCAGGCTCGACAGTACAGTTTGCCCCCAAATGCCACTGGTCGGAGAATGTCAATGGTCGCATCTGCCTCGTCCAGGAGGATCTCAAAACTAAGAAATTCCGAAATATCAATCGTCTGAAGGGCTTCGATATGCCGCATATGAGAAGGGTGCTCGAGAAGCTAGCAGAATTCCATGCGGCCAGCGCTGTCTGGCGTCAGCGGAACGGCCCCTTTCCAGAGGATTTCCAACGAACTTACCTGCCCGCCAACTACAATAAATCGAAATCATATCAGGCCCGTGTCCAGAGCTACAAGGCGGCCATGGCCAAATGGGGTCTGGCGGATCATGAGCAGTACGTGAGTCGCATTGTAAGTACAGAATTAATAGCTGTCCACAAAGGAAATCAATAATGTTCGCTCAGCCCACAGCCGATCAATTTGTGCAATCTGTGGCCCGCTGCTTTAACACAAATCCCCAGGAATTTAAAGTGCTGAATCATGGGGACTTCTGGTCCAGTAATATAATGCTAAGCTATACCCAATCCGGGGAGATCAATCAACTGCGTTTTGTGGACTTTCAACTGTGCAAGTGGGGCAGTCCCTCGCAGGACTTGTGGGAGTTGATTATCTGTTCGGCCCACCATAGCATAAGGATTAAGCACTTTGATTGCTTCGTTAGGATCTATCACACACATCTGGTGCGCTGTTTAAAGATCCTGAACTACAGCGAACGGATGCCTCTTTTAAGGGAGCTCCATATGAGCATGATCAAGTATGGGTTTTGGGGTGAGTAGAGATCTAAACCCAGGGATTGTTACGTATTCTTATAACTCTTATTCTTAGGTTATTTTACAACCTTCACCCATCTGGTGTTCATCCTTCTGCCCGTCGATACGGAGGCGAGTCTCCAGAAGCTCATGCAGGCGGACGAGGAGGGAGATCGCTTTCGCTCCAAGGTCTACACGAATCCCCTGTACGTCCGTTCTGTTCTCAGCATATTTCCGTTCCTGCATAGGCGTGGCATTTTAGACTTTTGAATGCGATTCTACTTAGGTGTACCTATATATAATTCTACTGTATCTTGTGAGTGACTTTGACTATCTTAAAGATTTATCTTTTGTTTAGCTGCGGCCGTGTTTGTCTATTATACTTCTTAAGAAAATAAGCCAAAGAAATCAACTGGGGTTTTGTTTTCGCTAGTACGTTGCCTTCTTATCACACCGGGTACCCTATTATAGGAGAGTCTATGGATATTCCTATGGAGATGGAAATAACTTTTTGTAGAGCCGATATGCCCAAGCTGTCACAACAGCTGTTTCTATTTAGATCATGTCGTATCTTGTCAAATTATTATCTTTGGAGAGAAAGAGCGTGTGATGTTTGAATAGAGCGAGGCACAAGTTCCACAAAAGCAATAATACCACACTGCGAATACGTTCCACAACATAACTGATTCGCTTTCAGCGCCATCCAGTTTGGTGTTCCACATTTCACAAACACATACCCACACTAAGGCAGAAAAGGCAAAGCACAAGGTGTATTAATATCAGGTAATGAACAGATCTGTTTTTCTTCAATGCAAAATGTGAGAATTCCTCACCTATCAACCTTTAATAAATACAAGTTTTTGCTTTCTTCTTCATCCAAACGTAAACAAATGACGCCTTGTTTCGTTCCCTTTCAATGTATGCTCAGCTCGTTAGTGTATGACGAGTCAGCGGGAAAGTAAGAACAAAGTACAAAATTTAAAATTTTGTTATCGATTATATCTTATCGATTTCCGCTGAGAAAATCAGCTGATTTTTGTACATTTTTTTGGTTTCAGCTGAGAATATCAGCTTATCAACAGAGAGAGCTTCCATAAAAAGCTTTCCCATCGTCACATGTTTTGCCCCCATACTCTTACTTTGGAGCCACAGCTGCTTTGGAGTCTTTTTTCTGTACGCTGCGGCAGTCAGGTGACTTGGAAAAATAAAAGAAAGAACACAGAAAAATGGGAACCGGCACGAAGAACTACCTTGCACCGGAGTGGCTGACCGTGGAGTTCCTGCAGGATGTGCTCAAGGAGCATTTTAAGGAGGAGACACTAACCGTCAGCGAGCTGCTGGTTAAGAGCGCCCAGGTCGGAGACACTGCTGTGGGCTTTGCCAGCGAAATGCACCGGGCCACGTTCAATCTGCAGCGAGGCGAGGCTGCCAAGAGTAAGTTCTCGGTGATCATCAAGGACCATCCGAAGGGACAAACTGGAGCCGTGGCCCAGCGCAGCAGGCTCTTCAAGCGCGAGATTCTCTCCTACAAGGAGGTACTGCCAAGGGTGCAGTCTCTGCTGGAGTCCATTGGCGACAATAGCAAGATAGCCCCTGCGTGCTACTACACAACGGAGTCGCCGGAACCGTTCCTCATCCTGGAGGATATGAAGATGAGCGGCTTTGAGAACTTCGAGCGCGGTCGTCTCCTAAACCTGGACTATGTTCTGCCAACCGTCGAGAAGATAGCCAAGCTTCATGCCTGCAGTGCCGTCATAGCAAAGGAGAGTCCCGAGGTCTTGGAGTTCTTCAATGAGGCGCCCATTTCCCGTAACCCCGATCGGCGGGACTTCCTTACCTACTTCCCCGTGAACATTCGTTGCGTAGCGGAGGAGCTGGCCCACTGGAAGGGCTATGAGGAGATCACCGAGAAGATGTTCATCCTGGCCGAGAATGTGCTCCAAAGAGCTCTGGCCATGTTTGACGAGAGCGAGAAGGGTTTCCGTGTGTTCAACCTCACGGATCTGTGGATTAACAATCTCCTGTTTCACATCAACAACGAGACCAAGGAACCCGATGATGTGGTGACTGTAAGTAGCATCCTCATTCAATCGTTTGGACTCTTCATTTTACAAACTATTTATAATTTGTTTCTGTAGCTGGATTACCAGTTGGCATATGTGGGATCTCCAGCCATAGATCTCAACTACTTCCTTTACGGCTCTCTCAATGAAAATGTGCGCAAGGTTCACTTCAAATACATTGTAAGGACGTACCAGCAGGTCTTGAAGCAGACCCTGGAGAAGCTCAAATATCAAGGACACATTCCCACACTCAAAGAAATCCATATCGACCTTATCAACACCAGCCTGATGGGTAAGTATTTCCCCTACCCCTTTTTCAGACGTTCTTTCTATAATCATCATCTGTTTTAGGTGTTATTGGCGCCACTTGCCTCACGCCTCTGATTTTCCGCGAGGGAGCTGGCTTTGAAAATCTCGAAGACCTCAACTCCCGCACCGAGAGCGGCGATCAATTCCGGCGGGAGAATGTCGAGAACCCCAAATACCGTGCCTTCTTGCAGCGCACAATTAAAGAGTTTGAGCTCTCTGGATTTTTGGATAAATAAGATGATCGGAGAGCCAGAGAGAGCATAAATCGAACAATAGTATTCATATATATTCATTGATTCCATGGGTTGAAGATAGACCCATTTGTTATAGGAAGAGCACAATCAAAGTAAATGTTGTACAAATAACTGTCCAAATCTGTTAAAATATATTTTAAAATGTTTACGGTTACACACAAAAGCCCTCGATAAGATAATTTAAGTTAACCTGTAGTACGATAGAAATACTGGTGTGATTTTATTCTATTGCTTGGAAGAGCAGCTTTTATTTCTTATATAATGTTTACTTATCATTTCCAACTCACAGTGCATTATAGAGATAACAAACAGTTGAGAGTCGTATTGACGGTGCTCAAAGAAATTAAGTACTCGTAATCTATAGAGACTCGAAAGACATAGATCAGAACCAGATGGGCTCGTTGCTTTTTGTGCCTTAAAGATCCTTAAAGTAACCCATTTTCTCGAATTGGGGCAACAGTTTCCTTACATCTGCAATGTAGGAATCTATGAGGTAAGCCTTCTGCCGCGTTGTCGCGTCTTGAATAATGTCATGCATCTTAAGGGTATTCGATTTGATGGCCAATATCATGGGCAGAAAAGTGGTAAGCAAGAAGAAGTCTGGAAGGAATGATAAAAAGGAGCTGTTAGCCAAAAGTCCCCACTTTAAACATGATGAACTACTCACCATAGAATTTGTGGCGATGGATCTGCTGCCAGAGCTTTTCCTGGGTGGGCATGGCGCCTTTGTATCCAATTTTCTTGAGTGTATCCGCCAAAACGTTGAAGAAATAGTTGATCATATCCTTTCCATGGTTCCAGCGTTCCTCTGGCTCCATCAGCATATATATGGAGTAGATCAAGTCAAGGCTTAAGGGGACTATATTACAGATCTGGAAATCCACCAACATCACATCCTCAAAGACCCCTGTCTCCTTGTTGTGCTTGAACATCATGTTACGCAGATGGAAGTCTCCGTGGCAAAGCACGTAATATCCATCAGATTGGGGGTCTGCTCGATACTCCTCCATCACGGCACGAGTGCGCTCCAGATAAGAGTCCTTTATTTTCTCAAAGTGCGGCTTGTACTTCTTGAGATCAGGTACCTTGTCAAGCATTTCAATGAAATTGGCCATGCCGGTGGTTACCATTGGATCTTTCAACAGAGTGGGTAAATCGAACAAACCATACTTAAATTCCTTGATAAACTCGGGATTCTGATTTGGAAGAGAAATATATTTTGATATGGATTATAGAGAAGATTTCTTAGAAACTTACCTCATTGTTAACTTTCATGCTGACGGCGTTCCATTTGGCCAATTTGGAAAGGGCAGAGCGCACTTCCTCCTCCCTAACTGAACGACCGCGTATGACAGTGTATCCTAACGGCACGAGATCATCGAAGATCATTACCTGACGTGGTTCGACGCTATGGAATATGCACGGTACATACAACTTGGTATTATCGCCCGCCTGCTGCAATATCCTCTCGAACTCTGGTAGAACCTTGGAGTACATTCCGATCTCTGTTTCAAACAGATGGGTTTCACTAAGCATTTCCTTTTTGTGTCCCTCCTCCTCGGGCATTGTCTTGACGATCAGTGCCTTGTTGAACACGCCCTTCCCGGTTGTGTATTCCACTTGGGTGCGGAACATAACACTGGCATAGTGATCTCCCTGGGCGCTCGCTGGGGATATTTTCAGATCGGTTACCTTCAATTCTGGTGCACTTTCATACGTGCTCAGAATGTTTTGCAAATACGTAGCATTCAGCCACTCTGGGGCCTCCAACTCGTCGGCGTTAAACTGTTCCGTATCTAAGTTATCTGGCATTTTGTTTGTTTGGTGGCAGAACAATCTAATCACTTGTTGTTAAAACTCACGGGACGGGTGGCAAACAGGTTGTGTTTATAACAAATAGTTGCGCACTCATTTTAAATAAAAATTTGAGCTTCGGCTGAGCTTTCTCTGAGCTTTGTCTGCGCTTTTTTGGCCGAGGTTCTTTACAATTCTCTGTGAAATTCATTTGTCTTATTATCTTTTCCATTGATTGAAACATGCATAGAAAAACGTAATTTAATTTATTAAAAATAAATTTAATAAATAAAGTTTTGGACCGGTGGTAGAACTAGAACCGATGCTAAAGCTTTTATTGCAAACAATTATTTTTTAATTATCTTTTAAGTAGTATACTATACTATACCCTTTAATAGGGTATTTTAATTTTACAATAATGCTTAGAACTAAGAGAAAACGAGGGGGAACGTTGTGAGTTGCTGCGGACATCGCAACTCTAATTTATACCCGATACTTAGTCAGTATGGCTCCCCTCCGGCAGACGCCGCTAATATTAAACGACATTTTGAGATATACGTTTTATAGTGAGATCTAACAGGAGTGCGGATACCAAATTTGGTTACTCTACCGTTAATAGTCTCTGAGATTTGTGAATATCCCCAGATTTTCGTCCTTGATGCGGGGTTTAATAATAATACGATCCAATTCAGATTCTGCAGTCTAAAAGATATGGTCATTCTCTACGATTCTGCGTTTTTAATTTTCTCGTATCGTCGAAATTGCGGATGCCACAGATTTTCGCTCTTTGTGGGGGCGGAAGTGGGCGGGGCGAAGTTTTGAAATATTCTTATAGCAGCGATATATCACAGAAGATTGGATCCAAAACATCGTTGCTCTAGCTTTTATAGTCTTTGAGCATTAGGCGCTGATAGGGACGGACAGACGGACAGACAGACATGGCTCAATCGATTGATGATGCTATTGATGCTGATCAAGAATATATATATATACTTTATGGGGTCGGAAACGATTCCTTCTGGACGTTACACACATCCATTTTCACCACAAATCTAATATACGCCAATACTCATTTTGAGTATCGGAAATAAAAAGAATTTCTACTTTATAATGAACATATAATCTTATAATATAGTCCATCTAGTCCTTGCGCTTGGATCAGTTGAAAATTCACAAAATGCGTACCCATATGACCCTATATAATCCTCTAAAATTACATAAAAAAATATTGCTTTATTTTGTAGTTTTCAAAGTAGAAGCCCTTTGAAAGAGTATATTTTAAGCCATATTTCCTATCTAGAATTATAATTACTAGTAGTTTTTGTCGAATAAGCATGCGTCTGCTTTTCTGGTACTCGTTATCTCATAGAAGCTTTGACGATGAGAACTAGTTTTAGTGGAAAAGCTACCACATAGCTACATATGTATGTATGGATGCTGTACTTGATTGAAAATATATACTTTTCTTCGAATAGCCTGGTGTTGGGATAACAATAAAAACAAGCAGATACAAAAATGCGCATTCATTGTAAAATTTATTCGATAGTAACTAAAAAAAACTATCTATAGATCCTCAAAATAGCCTATTTGTTCGTATTTGGGTAATAATTTCATGATATCCTTAACGTATACATCCTGATAGTAGGTTTTCTGACGCGTTTCTGCATCTTGAAGCAGACCATTCATTGTAAAAGAATTCGTTTTGATGCCCAAAATTAATGGCAAAAAAGTAAACATATTAAACAAGTCTGAAACCAAATGAAATGTAAATTCGAACTAAGTGAGTTTTAAATGACATGGATGACTTACCATAATATTTCAGCTTATGGATCTGTTGCCAGAGCTTCTCTTGGGTAGGCATTGCACCTTTGTAACCCACTTTCTTTAGAGTATCCACCAACACAGAGAAGTAATAGTTGATCAACTTCTCGCCATGGGTCCAGCGCTGCTCTGGCTCCATCAGCATGTGGATGGAGTATATCAAGTCCACGGCTATGGGACTGGTATTACACAGTTGAAAGTCCACCAGCATGACGTCTTCGGAGTCGCCTGTCTCCTTGTTGTGCCTGAACATCATATTCCGCAGATGAAAGTCTCCGTGACACAGCACGTAATATCCATCAGGTTGTGGATTTGTGCGATACTCTTGCAGAACGGTTTTCACCATGTCCAGGTAGGTATCTTTTATTTTCTCAAAGTGCGGCTTGTACTTCCTCAGCTCTGGCCATCGTTCCAGCATTTTAATGAAGGGAGGCATTGCCGTAGTCATAAAGGGATCGTTCATCAGGGCTGGCACTTCAGTCCAACCATATTGGAACTCGTTCAGAAAATCGGGTTGCTATTGAAAAGAGAATCTTAGTCGGACATTGAGTCAATAGTTTGCAGATTAAAGAGCTCACCTCATTGAGCAGTTTCATGCTGATGGCATGCCATTTGGCCAGTTTCGAGTAGGCTCTGCATAGTTCCTCCTCCCTAACCGGACGATCCCGGATGACAGTGTATCCCTGCGGCACCAGGTCCTCAAAGATCATAACCTGGCGAGGCTCAAGACTGTGATAGATGCACGGGACATATAGCTTGGTGTCATCTCCCGCCTGCTTCAGTATCCTCTCAAACTCCGGCAGGGCTTTGGTGTACATTCCAATTTCTGTTTCGAAAAAATGAGATTCACTTAGCATGTCCTTCTTGTGGCCCTCCTGTTCGGGCATCGTCTTAATGATCAGTGGCTTGGTGAACACTCCCTTGCGGGTTGTGTACTCAACTAGGGAGCGGAACATAATACTCGCATAGTGATCACCCTGGGCGCTCGCCGGGGATATTTTCAGATCGGTAACTTTCAGTTCTGGCGCTCCCTCACACGTGCTCAGAATTTCGCCTATAAATTTAGCATTTAACCACTCTGGGGCCTCCAGCTCGTCGGCGTTAAATTGCTCCAAGTTTTCAGTCGTCATTTTGTTTAGAGTAGAGGAAAAACTATATTAGCTTGAACGGCTACGTATTCCGTGCGAGCTGGTTATTGAATGAAGCAGTTGATTTGATGGAAGGCACACTTTAAACGAAATTGTCTGAGCTTTTCGAAATTTCGAGTTTTGTGTTGTGAAATACATTTATCTAATCAGAGAGCCTTATTGTCCTTATAATTGTTGCCTAGGAAAACACATTGATTGCTGGAAGTGCAATATTGAAAAATATTGTGAAATAATTCTGATGGTGAGCAAATCCTTTGGATAATTTTACTCTTGAGAGCTTTTCAATTTTCGTACTACGTTCATTTAAGTCCGAGGTAAACAGAAACAACTAATAAGAGTTATTACCCGCAAATATTAATTTTCACCGTGAGAGGTCTGCGATTGTATGCAATTGATAATGCAATACAAATTTACTGATTAGCTAACATTACTATGCGAAAAAATATACTCAATTCTAACAGTTACGAATAGTAGATATTTTAGATTGTAGTTTGTAGTTTCTGTTACATACATACATATGTATGTACATATTTGTTTAAATAATCGTAGTTACACCCACTGAAGCGCTCATATACATACATACGTAGAGTATCTATTGTAGACTCCACAAATCTTGAAGCTTTTGGAAAGCTTTTCAGCTAAAAATATCATTGTCTATGAACCTGTATTCTGATCTCTAAAAAGCTTTGTTATACCTACTATTATTCATTACCTTTCTCTCCTTTTCTACGCGTCATACTACAGCGCCTTTCGGTTGGCTATTTTCATGTATACAGAGATCAATTATATCAAGAATATTAACTAAAATAGACTTTAACTCTATAAGAAATACCTATACTGAAGTATTGAGAATCTAGCTCTACATAATTCAAACATTTACTATAATCACGAAGAATAATAAAAATATAACAGGTATATACAAATACATATGGGTGATTAACTATTGACTAGCCTAAGGAATATATGTACATTTGTCCATAAACATATATAAGATTTATCTAATTTTTATGTACAGTATAACACAGTTTTAAGGGTGACACTCTCGATCATTGATCCGCATCGAGCAAGCCCTCCTGGTGGAACTTGGGAAGGAGTTGTCGCATTATCCTCTGAGTAGCAGGATTGCCATAGCAGGCGTTCTTGAAGTTGATCGCCCGCTGATTGCTCTGCATTAAGGCATTGAAATCGGCATCAGCCGACTCCACATTCCGCTGAATGGGTAAGATGGAGATAGTTGTGTGCATGCCTAAGGATCAGAGAAGAAACCATAAAGTTATTCCAGAAATAAACGCAGGAGAATCGTGTACTGCTCACCATAGAAGGCCTTTTCTTGTAACTGCTGATGAAACTGGTGCATGCTGGGAATGGCAGCTTTAAAACGGAGTTTCCTCAGTGTTTCCGAGAAGATGTTGAAGTAGTAGTGGATCAGCTCCTCCTGGTTGTTCAGATGGAGATCAAACTCCAGCGAGGAGTTCAGGAAGTAGAAAAGATCAATGGCTGGTGAACCCCAGGCGACATATTGAAAGTCAATGATGATCACATCCTCCGCTTCGCCGGTCTCCTTGTCATACTTGACAAGAACATTGTTGGTCCACAGATCGCCATGGGCCAGGACATTGATCTGGCCGGGACTCACATCGAAGACGCGTTTGCCCAGCTCCATGTAGACAGGCAACAGAGCCTCCAGTTTCTCGGCATACAGCTCATATCCAGGCCACTGGGCCACTCTTCGACTGGCAGCCTGTAGCATGCCCAGAAAGCAGGGGGCATAGTTATCCGTGTGACGGTTGAACATTCCTCGATCATAGCTCTCCAAGGCATGATCCTCGCGCTCGTTCAACACCGCCGATGTGGCATGCATCTTGGCCAACTTCCGAAGGACAAGACGTGCCAACTTTAGATCGAGTCCGGTGAGACGATCGGGCATCACAAATTTCCGCGCACTGAGATCCTCAAAGATCAGCACCGAACGATCGTAGTCTACGGCCATGGTCTCGGCAAAGATCTCCTCCCCATCTTCGATCTCGTGGAGCAGAGCCTTCAGCTTAGGCAGAATGTGCTCATAGATGGACATCTCGCGATTGAAGATGTCATACGGTTCCATTGCGTTCCTGGAAAACTCGTCGCTCTCGAAGGAGGACTTTATAATGTAGTGACCGATCTGGCAGGTGCCGTCGCGTCTCGTGAACTGGGCTTTCACTCGGGTCAGCACTCCGCCATAGTTTTCACCCTTTCCCAGGGCGGGATGGACCTGCAGGCAGGTGATCTTGATCCTCTGATCTCCATAGAAGTCCCTCAGCGCATCCTGAATATAGCTCTCCGTCAGCCAATCAGGAGCATCCATAATAACAGAATTGGAGTTGGTAGAAGGAGCAGCGGATCCACTAAGCTTGGGAATGGCATCGAGTGCCCCGATCAGATCCGAAACCGACATGATGATAAATGATCTTGTTTTGCGATATGGTGTTTAAAAATCAGAGCACCTCAGCTTTTATATGAAAACTGCAGCTGTTCCCACGTACATTCGTCACAATTGTGATTTATAATACCCCCATAAAATCTCAGACGTATGTAAATATAGACGCGGGCTTACAGATTACTCTTTTTATTGGGGCGCAAGCACCCCCGAAACCCCCGAAGGCATCTGAGTAAGATGCCTCGTGGCTGGCACTCTCACGCCGCGGCATGGCTACTGCCTAATCGGACAGATTGTTTGGATTTCGGTCGCTGGCAAACCTGTTAATCTATATAGCACTTGGTGTGGGCTTAGGGATGGACGACGACGACAACGAAGCCGACGACGACAAGTGTTTTATGCCAGAGCTCAGAAACGCCAAGCATTTCTTGACTGAAATCATCTCTTCAAAGAGTGAACAACCTACGTCAAAGGCTGGATACTAAAACAAAGGGATACGTTGAAAAAAATCAATAGAGACATTTAAAGAAACTACTTTCTTCATGGATTTCTAAGAATAATATATGTGGATTGATGGATTTAAATTGAAAGAAAGTATCAAGGAAAAAATATTAAAAAAATTATTTCATTCTATTCTATTTTTTTTCGACATATATTATAAGCATTCGGGTGAAATATGGAAAAATGTTTGCTGTTTCAAATATTCAATAGAGGCCATTAAAAAATCGAAATAAGCAACTAATTTTGTTGTTTGGTAAACTTAATGGAACCGTTATAAAAAAATTGTTTAAATATGTTGCATTTTTTAAATTAAAAAACATGTATAATATGAATATTAAAATTTGTTCACATTTTCTAACTTCAACTTTGTTTTAAAATTATATAAAAAGAGTTTTGTATCACGCTTTAAACGGTTTCCTTAAAGTTCTAGTCAAATATTAAAGCACTTACTAACTGAGTCTGGGCAAACAATCCTAAAGATACATTGCACTTATGAGATACGAATAATAGACTGCCATCATCAAGACCTCAAAATTGTATGCATAAGCAAATGAGCGCCTGTCGATGGGAATCTTATTGCCTTGAATGGGAATCTGCGTGATACACCAAGCAACAAAACACTGAAATACAAATGTCTTACTATAACTTCTAAATATTTAATGGAGCCCTACTTTTCCTGCCTTAGGGCTCCAAAAGAAATGGTAATTTTCCTTCAGTTAAAGGTATTTAATCAGCCAAAAAAACTGTTCCCATCCATATAAAAGACATTAATCTTGAGACCTGCGGGCCAGTAGTGCTTGGCACACGTTACGCATTTCTGGGGCCGGCCTGTTGCCAAACGAATCTTCAGAGAGCACAGTAATCCCCAAATGTTTGCCGAGGGGAATAAAAACATATAATGCTTCCATCCCAAATCTGGAGGAGCGGAATGCAATTAAAGAAAGGCAAACACACGATACGCAGATACAAATACAGATACAGTTACGAGAGCATCAGCATTTCAATCTAGTATCATTTTCACCTTGACAAAGGCATTGCCTTCGGCAGATATAAAGGCGGACGAGTGCGCTTCGGTGATCATTATTCACTCGGAGATTGGACAAAATGGCTGGCGCACCAGAGTGGCTGACCCACGACTACCTAGAGCATGCTCTGCGCTCTTACTACAATGACGAAAGCCTGAAGATTGTCAAGCTGGAAATAAATCCCGCCTTGAGTGCTGGGGAAAACTATGGCGGTGTTTTGACCAGAGCACGCCTACGGTTTACGCTGTCCAAAAATCTAGAGGAAGAGCAACTACAGAACCTCATTGTGAAGACGGCCATCGATGACGATGAGCTGAGCAAGGAGCTGATGGCGCCCTATGATATCTTCAATCGTGAGATGAACATCTATGAGGACGTGCTGCCCAAGCTGAACGCTCTTCTCCAGGAGATCGGTGACTCTGAGCCCATCTTTCCCACCGCCATCTATGTGGATCGCGAGCGCACTGCGATCGTCTTCGAGGATCTCTCAGTGGCTGGGTATGTGATGGCTGATCGCGTGCGACTCCTGAATGTGGAGCACACGCATCTCATCCTGCGAAAGCTGGCCAAGATGCATGCCACCTCGGCGGTGCTGAATGAGCGTCAGTCCGGCTGCCTGGAGAGCTACGATCGTGGATTCTTCAATCGCTATACGAACGCTTATAGCGGGTACTTTGTGGGTGGCCTACTGGCCGCCGCCCGATGGATGAGTCAGGTGCCAAAACTGGCGGATTATGGACAGAAACTCTTCGAGCTGGCACCTCACTACATGGAGATTGGCAAGAAGTGCTTTACCCCCACGCCGGGACATGTAAATGTCCTGGCACATGGCGATGTGTGGACCAACAATGTCATGTTCAAATACGATCCCTCCACGGGTCGTCCCGTGGATGTCCTGCTCATCGATTTCCAGTACTCCTTCTGGGGATCGCCCTGCATCGATCTGCATCATCTTTTCAACACTTCGCTGAAGGAGCCACTGCGTCGAGATCAGCAGAGCGGTCTCTTCCAGTTCTATCATAGCATCTTTACCGATACCCTGCAGAAGCTCCACTACCGTCAGAATCCCATACCCAGTCTTCTTGATTTC